GGGAGGTAAAATACGTTTAAAACTTCGAAATAAGTGAATTGTTAAAGAACGAATCTTTCCTAATTTATGGATTCTGAAGGATCTAAATTTTGAATGATGGCATTGGACATTTTAATGAAAAATCTGTTTTTCGGGTTCTCTTTCTATATTGATGTACTTTTACATTAAACGATTTTTTAAAAAAGAGGATTAAAAAAAAAAAAAAACAAAGAAAGAAATGGAATTTTTTTTTTCCCTACATTTTTTTCTTCTTTTCTTTATGGGGAAACTTTAGGCTGTAAATTGTCATTTGCACTAATCTGAGAAGTTTTTCTCAATAGTAATTTAAATGGTGTTTTCATGCCTCAGTCTGATTCATTTTATAAAATTCTGTAAAAAATGTTTAATTCATCACGATAAAATGTGTTCAATTTATGTAATAAATGATGTTACCCCTTTAACCTGTTATCTGGGTATGACAAAATATTTCCTCATGCTCTAGCTGCTTTTTGCCATGGAAGTTACTTGAGGTTTAATAATATTACTTATAACTAAAAAGAGAAAAAAAAGACCCCATTGTGAAACGAGTTGGAACAATAGTTTATTTCCCAGTTAACAGATTAAGAACTTTTTAAAGCATCTAAGAAATTTTAAAAATCTCTTTTTAGATCTAAACTAGGGTGAGAAATTTTTAATTCAATAAAGCATATAAAAAAAATTTAATGGCTGAAAAAAAAATCTTGTATTGATTTACTGTAATCATTTCTCAGAAATTTCGCTGACCTTCTCTTCCAAAAAAATATCTATAATGAAGGATTAGTTTGTGTGTCTTTAATAACTCTAGAATTCGGATAGTGTGTAAGAGGGAAAATCTTAGTTTCCGTTCAAAAATTTTAATTAGGTCATTGAGGAGAGAAATTTAAAAAACAGAATTTTCTCATTGATTAAGAGTTGACGTCGTTGATCTAAATGAAACTGCAGTCAATTGTTGATAGGACCAGTGATATTTGCTTGATTACAACTCTCAGTAATCAAAAAAAGAAGTTTATTACTACTATCTCTTTCATATTTAATTATTTTTTTCTTCATTATGTCAGACATACTCAATGATCATCGTAGGGACACGGTGGCTTGGGGAATAGAGCACTCACCTCCCAATGTGATGACTCGGGTTCGGATCCCAGTTTTGGCTGTTTAAAGGGCCTTCAAAAGGGAACGACAAAAAATAGTTTATTTGTGGTAAAGGTTGGCCACGAGCAATAACATCATTCCAAAAGATAATGTTGTTGTTGTTCTTTTTTTTCCATTTACTTCGCTCTAGAGCTGCACAATGGGCTATTGGCGACGGTCTGGTGAAACATCCCTAAGGATGATCCGAAGACATGCCATCACAATTTTGATCCTCTGCAGAGGGGATGGCACCCCCGCTTCGGTAGCCCGTCGACCTGCACTCGAAGTCGATCACTTTACGGTAGAACAGTTTAACGAGGACCAATGCCGCACACCCTCGGTTCTTACGCAGACTGATCCAAGTGGTCACCCACCCGCACACTGACCGCAGCCAGTGATGCTTGACTTCGGTGATCTGCAGGGAACCGTGTCTTAACGATCAGTCCACTACGGGACCCAAAAGATAATGAATACAGCTAATTGTTATATTATGATCCACTGGCAGTGACAAATAATAAGTAATTTTTAAAAAATCGTGATTTTTTTAAACTTTAGTATGTTTGTATGTGTCTTTCGGTTTTATGCATGATTTCGTAGTGTTTTTCAGTGCTGACTTATTAATATTTTAATTTTTTTCCGCACCTTACAGAGAACGTGTATTCATCAGCTTGTACCAATTAAAATATAGGGAACCGATTATCCAGAACGGTCGGGACCATCGCTATTCCGGATAACTGATTTTTCCCGTTTTCTGAATCGCTACAAAAAGCCGTTTTTTTATTGTGAAACCCAACTAAAAAAAATTGGAAATAATCTTAAAAATAAGAAAAAAAGATGAAGTAATACACTAATGATTATTTCTAAAATGATGGTAAGGTAAACATATAAAAAAAAAAAAGAGAAAAAAAATCGTAAAATCTTACGAGGAAAAAAATTTTTTTTTAAAAAAATGGCGAAAAAATGTATTGATTTTCGTTCCGGTTTTTTGGTTTTCCGGTTTTCTGATTTCCGGATAACGGGTTCTGTACTGTACTTAATTCTAACTTCGGCGTGGAAAAAAAAAAAAAAAAAAACTTCAGTCATAAAATAATGAAAATCCCAACTTTTTAAACTTTCCTGAACTTTTTGTGGTAATTACGATTAGGACACCCATTTTTCTTATTTTAATTTAGCCTTCTTAGCTTCGTGACTACGACAATTTTCTTTTTGCTCTCAACCCTGTTAATAGTAGGTTTGCTTAATTTTTACTTTTCTAAAAGCAAAACCGAAACTATTGGAATGAATTGCTGAGTCTAGTGTGGAATTGGTGCGTGAAATCATTTTAGTGTATACATAACCTTGACACACGTTCGTCTGCCGCTTTAGTCAGAATTACTTTTTTTTTTTTAAAAAAAATCTATGGCAAAACGCCAAATTGAATGCTCACCGATTTTTCTGGATTTCGGCCAATGACTTTTGTTTTTTCGTAATTCATGTTATGCTTTTTAATCTACTTCGGGACTTACATATTCTTAAGAAAAGTTTGAATTCTTATAAGTTAGAAATGAAAAAGATTATTTCGTGATTTCAATTTTTTTTCTTTGAATCCTTAATATTTTATAAAAATACGTGACACTTGTTATATTCAACAACATTCTTAACTTACTTATTGCTCGGTAATAAGAAAAAATTTACTATCTGTCAACGGATAAATCATAAAAATTGCTTGTATATACTGCTTGATTATTTGATTTGGAAAAAAAATTACTTAAAAAAATTCTTAAAAACTTTAATAATGTTGTGGTGAATGTAGGATTTAAATTTTTTTGTTTTTCGGTTTTCGAAAATAGTTTTCCTTATATTGAAATGGAGTTACTTTATGCTTCTGAATGTTAACATGTCGTTGGCTAATTGAATAATCCGGCTCTTTACAATCAGCCGATGTCATTTTGAAATGTTCCAGGCAAATTGGAAAAGTCTTCAGCATTTTCTAATCAACATGTCACTTATTAGGTTTATTACAATGAGCCAATATGGCTTTAGCCTAAATGGAAAAACTAACTATCATTCATTGTTTAATTATTTGAGGTAGTTGGCATTTACAATGAAAAGTGTAGGCTTATCGTAAATAGTCTTATTAAAAGTTTATTGTAATAAGTCTAAATAAATTAAGTATATGTCATTCTCGGCGCTTTCCTAATTCCTAATTAGTTTAAAGGCAATGTAGGCTGATTGTAATAAGCCTTAAAAATATAAGCCAAATTAGGAAATACTGCAGACTTCAAAATATCGGCGACATTTACTAAGTGCCGGATTTTTCAATAAGCCTATGACAACCAATATTAAGATACATGTGCTGAATAATTTAAAATTTTTAAACTTTTTGGTTTTTAAAATGAGTAAATAAAAATCTCTGTATAAAAAGAGTTAAAAAATATTTAATTGATTAAATTCATCATTTGAATGCATTATTATCTTTATTTTGTGCAAAACATTTCTTTTTCTGTGTATTATAAAATATTAAACAAAAGTTTTGTTACTTTTTAAATTCGTTTTGCAAAACCTTTTATCGTTTAAATTAAACAGACCCTTAAAATATCGCAGAAAGATGCCCTTCACAAAGCATTTCGTTTAAAAAATATTGTCAATGCCGTCTTTAGTTCAAATTTAAAACCCAGTTTATTTATTAATAACTAATATTCCCTTACTTTAAAAAAAAATCTAAGGAGAAAAAAAACAAGTTTTTTCTTATTTGCTCATTTTCACGAAATTATAAGTAGGTTTTGACCACTTTCATAAAAAAGTTTGAATTGTAAACTTCTGTTAACTGGTGATAAGTGGATTTGATGATTTGGTTTGATCAGTTTATCTTTCTTCTAGTTTTCGTCTTCGAGTTTTTTTACTAGAACTGTGTTCTGCAGTCTTAACGCCACTAGTGACATTAAACTCATATTTTTTAACTTCCCCACTTTTCGAAGGAAAAAAGGAAAAAAAAATTATAGTTATAATTGAAACTTCAAAAACAGATATTAAATATTTGTTTTTACTTAAGAAAAATCTGTTTATAGAATAATGTGAAATACCTGGTGTATGAGCGTGTTTTCAAAAATACGACCAGGAAATGGAGACAATTTCACCCTGTTTTACAAAACCTATTGTTTCTGCATCCAAGCTTGTTTTGTGTACATTTTATTATTAAAATGAAATATAAATTTTTGCTTATATTTTTCTATTACTATAATAAAAGATAACTATTATTTATGCAAATTGCATAAATTTCTGTGATATTTAATTTCATTATGAATAAGTTACAGAATAAAAAAAATATTATGTTTTTATACATTATCATTTATTTATTTTACAGGTTAATGCAAATTGCATGCAAATTATTATGCAAATTGCTTAAATTGCTGTGTTATTTAATTTCATTATGAATAAGTGACAGAATAAAAAAATTTTGTTTTTATACATTATCATTTATTTGTTTTACAGGTTAATGCAAATTATAATGCAAATTGCATAAATTTCTGTGTTATTTAATTTCATTATGAATAAGTTACAGAATAAAAAAATTATGTTTTTATACATTATCATTTATTTATTTTACAGGTTAATGCAAATTGCCTGCAAATTATTATGCAAATTGCATAAATTTCTGTGTTATTTAATTTCATTATGAATAAGTTGCAGAATAAAAAAAAATATTATGTTTTTATACATTATCATTTATTTATTTTGCAGGTTAATGCAAATTGCATGCAAATTATTATGCAAATTACATAAATTTCTGTGTTATTTAATTTCATTATGAATAAGTTACAGAATAAAAAAATTATTATGTTTTTATACATTATCATTTATTTATTTTACAGGTTACCGAGGCTGGAGAATCCAACTTACCTGAGTGGCTACAGTATGACGAAGACTCTCAGACTTTCTCTGGCGTACCTTTATCAAAAGATATGGGACAATACTATATTAGTGTTAAAGCGATTGGATATTCACCTAGTAAGTGTTATTTTAATATGTTTCACTGGTTCGGCAAACTTGTTTAATACGAGTTTAAGAGAGCTACTGGTTTATTCGGGGAAAAACAAAAGCAATGAGTAGGGAAACTTATATTAAAAAAAATTTAAAACTTGAAATAAGTTTTGAAAGAAAACAACAAATGGAAATCTCATTTTTCTAAAAATATTATTTAAATAATTAAATTTCTATTTTGCATAAATTTAAACTGATATGCACAAATTTGTGAAGAATATAAATGAAAGGAATAAATGAACAAAATTTATCAAATAGTTTCTGAGTTATTTGATTTTAAAATGTCGCAGTATATTTTAAGTATTATTTGAAAACTATAATTATTAAAAATGATTTTTTGTATGGAATTTCCTTCTAATGAAAGCCTTTTATACTTGTGTGCAAACATTTTTAAACCGTTTAAAATATAGCGGAATAAGCAAAAAAAAAAAAAAAAGTTNAATTAACTTTTGTCTGCTCTCCTGCATAAAGTAATGGAACAATATTTTTAAATACTCTGCACGTTCTGAGGGCAGGAATCAAAAAGAGTTCTTTTTTGTGATTCATTTAGTAACTGAAAATATCACCTGCACTAATTAAACACAACAAAATAACACAATTAAACACAACAACCTGCTAATTAAACACAATAACCTGCACTAATTAACAAAAAGCATATTTAAGGTCATTTGTGTTTTAGTAAGTGAAAATCTGATCATTAAACCAAAAGTTATTCAGGGAGTTATTTTGCTCATCGTCCAAAAAATAATTCTAGTCAAGGCTGTCAAATAACATTATTAAATGTAATCCTAAAATTAAAGATTTTTAAAAATTATGATTTTTGCAACTTTTTTTAACCTTTTACATTTCTTATAGATAAATCTCCATCAGCAAAAGATGTGTTTTCCATTGAGGTTGTAGAAGATTCTTCAGAATCACGTTTAGGAGATAATGAAGGAATGATTGGCTCCTGTGCCAGCGGAGAAAGTCAAACTATTGCCAACTTAGTCTTAGATCTCAATTTAGATGAATTAAATATATCAGATAGATTGAGCACATTGAAAAAATTGTCATCCTTCCTCAACATGCCAGTAAAAAAATTTAAGCTACTACCAAAAACTGACGAGAACTCAGTGAACTTAAATGCTGTACTGGCTGGTCCAGGAAATGCAAAAACAATCACCAAAAAAGGGGCAGTTATAGAATGGAGAATCGGTTGCTCAATGTCGATTTCCACGGAGCAGAAAGCTATGATTACAAAGCTGGAAAATGCTGCAGCAGATGCAAGTCTTTCTAACGCAATCGGTTACCCTGTAATTGGCTGGCATATTACCAATGTTTTCCCAAAAGTCTATTTTAGAGAAAAAAGGCAAGTTAATCGTGGTACACCGGTTCCTGGAGTTGTGCCAACTCAGTTGCCTCGGTTTACAGAAATCGATGAATTTGAAATAACTGATGATACTTTAATTCCAGAAACACGAATCATTCCAACAATGGCTTCTCCAACAATAATGCAACCATCACATCATCACAGACATGGTCATGGGGATTTCGGTATGGAAAGAGGCCATCATCATCACAACCTAATAGAATCACCAGCCCTTTTTACATCACCAACTTTATACAACCATCGCTTCCAAACCGCACATGTGACACCATTAGGAGCTACACCAGTCATTGTTCCTGTTAGACCTACAAAATATGTATCTACAACAACCTTAGTTGATGAATCTGTACCTGGACGTTACTATCCAGAAGAGCATACTCCTTTGGGTGGGCTAGTATCATCAATGATTATCCCTACACCTGTTATAGGCATAACAGATGCTTTACCCACTCAGACTTTTGTCTCATCGGTAGATTTAATGAGTTCTGAGATTAAGCCTACAAAGAGCCAGACAGTTGTAGAGAAAACGAAGAAACCACCTGGAACACCCAACTTTAAACCAACAATTGAAAAGAGAATGCAAAAATTGACAGTGATAGCAGGTAAAGTATGGAAATATCAAATACCTCACGATACATTTGTCGATATGGAAGATGGAGATACTCGTCACTTGAAACTTCTCTTCTTGACATCTGAACGAACTGCTGTCTCACCTACATCGTGGATTCAGTTTGATCCTGTTAAACAAATGCTTTACGCTTTACCATTAGATGAACATATAGGCAAATATGAATTTATATTGGAAGCAATGGATAACGAAGGCGCATCCACTAATGACAGACTTGATATTCATGTTTGGCAGCATCAATCTGCTCGCACCAAACATCACGAGTTCTCTGTTTCTCTTAAACTTAATAAATGGCAATATCCTATCACAATCGACTGGAATATTGAATTTGCAAAACGGCTCTCCGCTTATTTTGGTGATAAAAATGAAAGCAATATCGCTGTTCAAGCTGTGACAACAGAACCTCTCACAACAATTACTTGGTCTAATGATACTCTTCCCACTTATCCTTGTCCAAATGATGAAATAACAGATTTAACTAATAAATTAATTGATGAAAATTCCAACAAAATATCTGTTGCATTTATAAAGGCAATGGGACAAGATTTAAAAGTAGTTGATGCAAGTGTGAATTTTCTTGGTGTGTGCCGCACTCCAGTTTCAACCACTTCACCTACTCATACAAATTATGCACCTTTATTGCGTAATCCAATTGAACGAATCAATACGACAGTTGGTGAAATATTACGTTTCAGAATTCCAGACGATACGTTTTACGATTTTGAAGATGGTAGCACTAGATATCTCACTCTTACTTTCCTAACAATTGAAAATGTTCGCCCTCCTAAATCATCATGGGTGCAGTTTGATCATAAGTCGCAAGAGCTTTATGGACTACCTTTTGATGGTGATACTGGTAGACATGAATATCAGTTGGTAGCTATGGATAATAATGGCTTACAAATAAATGATGTTTTTGTCATTGAAGTTCATCCTCGCCCACCAAAGAAATGGAATGTTGAATTTAGTCTTCATATCGATCATGACTATGAAGAATTTAGCAAAGATATAAGTAAAAAAGTGCTAGTTGCTTGGAAATTGGCCAAACTGTATGATGATCCTGATCCTCGTTACATCACTATCGGATCTATCAGCAAAGGATCAGTTGTTTATGCCTGGACAAATAACACTCTACCTCATGACCCTTGCCCAAAACGAACTATCGATAAACTGGTAGAAAATATGATAAATGAAGATGGTACTTTATCATCTAAACTAACCGATGCTATGCTTCCAGAATTTAAGGTAATTAAAGCTGATGCCATGCCTTTAGGTATTTGCTTAGGTGAAGTCACTCCAACTTCTGTTACAATTCCACCTCCTCCAATAACAGAAGCGGCTGAGCCAGCCGTCACTACTGATGATGATATCTATATCACAACAATTATTCCAGCTGTAGTGATAGCAGTTATGTTAATAATTGCAGCCTTAGTTGCTTGCTTCCTGTATCGTAAGAAAAGAAAAGGAAAGATGACAATGCAGGATAACAATACTTTCATTGGAAATCGTGCACCTGTAATATTTGGTGATGAAATGGAGGAAAAACCTGATCCTGCCAAACCGCCGGTGATAATGCGTGAAGAAAAACCACCCCTAGCTCCTCCGGATTATTTAAGATCTTCTGTGAGCAGCAGAGATTCAACGCCACATCTTGATAGAGTAGAGCAGGCTAATATTAGGAATACAAATGCTGATCTCCATACGGATCCTTCCCCTCCATATCAACCACCCCCTCCTTTCACCACTAACAGAGACAGCAAGAACTCCAGACCTAAAGGCACTCCGACTTACAGGCAACCTCCACCATATATGCCTCCTGTACCACCTTAGTCTTTTTCAAATACCTTGCAGAGTGGGCTTTAATGTGCCTTCACCTGCCAAAGAAGGACTCCTTGTGTATTCTATCGTAAATGTTACGTTAATATCTGTTTAATGCCTGCTCTTCTCTCATGCAATGACTAAGAGCTTTGGAAGCAGAAAAAAAAATTATTCTAATGCTGAAACTTGTGTTACAGAAATCTGAAATAACAGCATCTTGTTGAATCAGTGTTATGCTTTCTCAAATATTTGCAGAACAGAAGAAAGTTTGTGTTTTGTAATTGCATGTTTTGTGTGGCAATCTTTCATTTAAATGCCAATTTTTTAAAATATAGTATGAAGTTGTATATCAATTTGCAACGAAGATATACCTGTGAAAATTTTTATATTGTGCCTATTCTCAACGTTATTTATCAGTTATTTGAGTAGTAATAACAATTTCCTATATTAAAATCTGTAACAGTAAAATCTTTTTTTTTTTTAATCATCTTTGCATGTTACATTCAATTTTCAATTCCTCTTGTTCATTTAAGATTTTGCCTTTAAAGAAGCGTGCTGATGAACATTTAATGGCTAGGATCGTTTAAATTTGAAAATTTTTTGATAAGGAAACAGTGAAAGTTTAATAAATAAAAGTGACTTTTCTTTTAAAATAATATTTTGCATCGGTCCCCTCACCCCATGTTATAATATTAAATATTATAAAATTTAAAAAAGGATGGCAAGATAAATAAAATTGCTGCAATAATAAAAAATAAGGTGGTATCAAAATTTTAAACAATTCTTTATTTTAAAGCAAGCTGTTTGTGTGTGATAAAATTACAAAATTGGAAGTCAGCAGTGAGGTCACAACTTAGCATTTAAGTTAGTTTTTTATACACTTGCATTTTTTAAATAAGTTATTGGCTCGCACCCATTCAAAAATTGATCTGTAAACTTATGATGGTCTTATATAATAAATAATTTTCAGTAGTTTAATTAAATTACAAATCTAGTCAAAGTAATTTCTTAAGATTCAAGTTTTCTCAAATCATCCTGAATCACATGTTATCGGCAGCTGTTATCTGATTATTGTTCACACTATTAAACCTGATATTTTGTACGATTTAATATAGTTTATTGTACTTAAATGATTTTCATTCTTTAAGAAATTGTACAGAAACCAATTTAAAATCAAAATTTAAAAACATATCTGTTTAAATCAAGACATAAATTTATTCAATCAAGTAATGTTTTTGTAAAATGTTTCAATGCATTTTTTTTTTCATGTAAAATATTTCTGTGTGTATTTCAATGGCTTTAGTGTAATTTCATTTTCACTCATCTATTTTTCTATGTAGTTGTTATGCATTAAGTCTAATATTTAAGCATACATACCATGTTTCAATTTGTTTTGTTATAATCTTTCTATAACTGTAGCTCATATTTTTACTAACACTAAATTAAAAAATATTACATATCTAACAAACTAATATTAATATATTGTTGCTCTATATTATTTAAAGGATTTCATTGTTCTTAATAAGATAGACTTGTTTCATTGAAGAAGCGGTGCTAACAGTTTCTATTTATTTTAATTTATTTAACAATTTTTTTCATTGTCTTATAAATTTATCATCTGTTTTTTCATAGATGCCAACTATTAGGCTAGAACTTACTTTACTCAATGCAAAATACAATGTTAATAAATATTTTGTCTCCCAATAAATAGTGCAACTAACTGTAATAATAAATTTCCACGTAAATTTAGAACACTCTTTGTTTTAACCCTTTATATTGATTGTTTACTCCAATTTTAACTTTACACCAATCTAAAGCATAATAAAATTTCAATTTAAATAATTTATTTTCAATCAGATTGTCATATTTTTACTGTATCATTCTAATTTAACATTACTTTTTAATCGATCTGGAAAAACAATTAGGTTTCGAAATTGTCACAAAAATTAAACTCTTTTTATTCACAAATTCATTCATTTTGTGTTGATTAAATGTTTAAAAAAAAAAATTAATATTCATCCTAAATATATTTTAACAGCCTACCCTACTCAATATGCTAGAAAAATTGGTCTTATTCTTGTATATCTAAAGCATGCATAACATACATAATATCATTATTTTTTCAAATATTTTTTTCCTCCTTAAACTTTTTTCCTCCATAAATTGAGAACTTATTTTTTTAAAATATTTATTCATGTTTTGTATATTATTTTACTAAAAGATATCCTTCAGTTTTCCATTACTTGTCGCTTACATATTCCATATTTCTTTATTCCTTAAATCGGAGTATAAAAGTTGGAAGTTCTAAGTTGGCATCTAGTTTTAGTTATCTAATGATATAATATGTAAATGAAAGTTCGATTTTTTTTTCTTCATTGCATTAAATTTTAACAAATGCATTTAGTTTGCTTTATTTTGGCAAATAAATAATTAGTTGAATTATTTATGGAACATACTCAATATTTGCTATGTACCTAATTTGGTTGATAAATATTAACTTTTTCAAACAATACACTCTGTAAGTTACTTAAAATTGTATGTGTTGTATATGAAAGCTATATTTGTTTTTTTTAAATAAATTTTAAATTTGATTGATGTTCTAAATGCAATTTGATGTTTTTATATATTGTTAGCAATTAAAATTATTTTTTTCAGAATATGTATTAATTTCAATGATATGTTTTATGACAGAAATATGTGTCACAAATGGTAGAAAAAATTATTTCAAGCTTATTTTTTAATGCATTGTTTTTATTTTGTTTTATAAAATATGTCATAAATCATATTTATTTTGTGTAAGCCTAAAATGATATTTCATTGCTCACATATCGGTTTATTTTTAGTTACTTAATGTTCCATTAATGATTGTAAGCATTTTTTTTTCTATTTATGTTGTGAAATTATTAATGTATGTTGTGAATTGTCCTGGAAAATTTAAGAAACGATGGAAAGTGTATTAGAGCAATAGGATTTATCAGTTAGGAATTCAGTTAGATTTCCTAGCAGGAAATATTTAAATTTTTACTTCTGATTGTGAAGTGTTTAAAATGTTTCAACAAAGTGACCTAAGTCAGTGTGATTCAGTTGTGTTAATAAAATAAAATAAACATTTTCAATAAATGAAGTTGTATATATATTCCAATTACAACAATACACATTTAAATCCTAATGGTAAATCTAACTTTGAGGAATGCTGCTGTGGTATTTATATGCAAGAGGTGGGAAATATTTAACTGTCAATATTTTTTTTATAACCGTCGTTGAACAGCCGACCCAAATTTTGGGTTTACCTTTTCTAATGTTCTAATGCCTTGTAATTTTGAACCCAATCCAGAAGACAAGGGAACTCCTGGATCAAGTATTGAGAGAAATCTTGCCTTCATGGAGGACATTTTGATTGAACTAACCCGCATTTGCGTTACATGGAGAGGAAGACCACGAGAACCTCCGAAGGTTACCCTGACGGCAAAGGGACTCTAACACGTGATTCGTCTACCTCTGAGGATATTTCACATCAGCACTGTGGTCAGTGCAAGCTGGATGCGGATTCGTATCGACCAGCCGTTGGTGGGATTCGAACCCGGTTCACCTCGTTGGAAGGCGAACGCTCTATCAAGGCTCTAACTATTGTCAATTTTTTTTTGTCATTTATCAAAGTTTCAAAAAAAAAATCTTGGTTTTAAAAACTTTAGAAATAATAATACTTTTAAAAATGCATATAATAAAATTATTTAAATATCCCATTATAAAATTAACTATCTAGTAAAATGAATTAATGCTAATTTTAAGAAAAAACGTGCATACTTTTTAGTTATACATATATAAATGAAATTAGTAAAGTTAAATAATTAGAGAGGATATTTTTCTTAACGAAAACTTTTTCTTCTAAAAAACAGTATGAAAGATAAATATAGAAAAGCAGTTCTATTAATAGTACAATAATAAAAATTCTAAATAACAGTTCTGATACTACTGAAATTGAATACATGTGAAGGAAAGTATTTTATTACCACTCCCTTGCCCATAATATATGTAAACTTATAAACGAAGATTTCATATTATTAAAATGATGAACAGGTTTAAGCTGTTTCAAAATTTACACAAAAATGATAACTGGTTACACATTAAAAAATAATTTATTTTACTCAAATCAGGATTTTAATCAAGTTGATTTAAATCAGCAAATTTTTGCTTTTAACTAATTGTTCTTTTTAAAAAAGCATTTTTTAAAGTACTGCCTTTCAATTACAGGAAGGACACTTTGAGGGAACATCTTTTTCTTTCCACAGCACTCCTCTATGGACGACTTAACAAAATTAAATTGTTAAATTAATTTTTAATAAAATCCTAAAATATAAAAAAAGCTAACTAAAAGTTAATAAACTTTTTTTGTTGAATGGGGAATTCTGAGAAATTTTCTGTAAACAATATTGTTGCCTGGTAGATATAGATTTTTTGAATTATTAAATTAAAACCAAAATATTTCTAGAATAAAAACCAACAGGAAAACATAAGATAATACGTAAAACATAACATCAGACAAGAAAGAAATAATTATCCAATCAGGTTAGGATAACTAAAATGTTTCAAAAATATTTGTCATACAAAAATAAAGGTGTACATCAGATTTCTTGTATGTTAAGTTAGGGAATATCGAAATATATTATATTTTTTGTCCCATTGCAAATAAATAATAATCTAAACTAATACAGGATGGAATAACTGTAAAATAATGTTACAAAAATATTTATCATTCAAAAATAAAGGTGTACATTAGATTTCATGTATGTTAAGTCAGAGAATATCGAAATATATTGTGTTTTTTGTTCCATTGCAAATTTTTGACTATCTAAACTAATACAGGATAGGATCACTAAAATTTATCAAACATATCATACGAAAAAAAAAGGGTGGACATTACATTCCTTGCATGTTAAATTAGAGAATATTGCAATATATATATATTTATTTCATAGCAAATATATGATAATCCAAACTAATATAGGAAAGGATCACTGTAAAATTTTTCGAAAATATTTATCTTACAAAAATAAAGGTGCACATTAGATTTAGATTCCATGTATGTTAAGTTAGAGGATATCAAAATATATAATCTTTTTTTTTTTTTTCATAAGAGGGATTTGTCCTGCATTATGTTACATATTTGTTGTAGAACATGTTAATTTTATTAGCATGCTAATTCATTCATTCTGTTTTTAGTAGCGTAGTAATAAAACTTAATTTATATTAAAGCTTATTTTGGATTTATATATTTTTATTTTTAAAATTAATATTATTTTTTACATAAATTAAAGCAGACATAATAAAGGGGTGAGACTACTATACATGAACAATTTTCAGCCGATTGAAAACTAACGTTAATGAAAATTACATGAATAATAATTGAATGAATAATAATAGAAATTACTAAGTTAGTAAAAATTCATTAAAATTTTAAAAAAAATCATTTCAAAATTAACTGTTCCCTGAATGCTCGATATTTATAAGTTATCTTATAACTGAGTATTTGAAAATATATTAAATAACTACAAATGTAATGAATTAAATAACTACTTAATAAAAATTGCTCCTATTTTTATTGTGTTTACATTATATTGTTGGTGCATTCATTATAAATAAATTATCTTCTTCCTTTTTAATCCATTGAACAATCTTCTTCATAGCATTGGTTGCATCCATTTTTGTGACCAAAGGTTCAAAGGCAGCATATAGTTCAAATCCTTGCATATGCTAAAAAAAATAAATGATATTCTATTTCAAACCTGGTTGACATGATTATTTTTTTAGAAAAGACTTATTATTTTACAAAATTCTAAATAGAAATTTGATAATTTAAGTAGAAACAACGAAAATATGTAACTTATTTTTACTATATTCAGGATTATAAGTGTTTAAAAGTATCTAATTTTCTCTATAAGAACTTTATTTTTAATCTTAAATCACTTTAATTTTACTGCAGTTATTAGTTTGTATTATCAATGAAGTTTATTAAATAGAATCTACAGTAGACAAATAAAAAATATTGACCTTTATTCTAATGGTTGTAATTCTCAAGTCCTGGGGACTGAAATCAGTCTTGAGTATGATTGTAGGCAAAATCTCAATTAATATTTCCTTCTCAATTGTTCTTTAAATTAGAACATTACATTTTGATGAAAACTTTGTTATTTTTCATTATCAACATTTTGAAATACTGGCCAAAGTTACAAATAGATTATTTTTTTAAAAAGAAATGTGGAAGTGAAAATATATAGAGATATGAATAGCTTCACGAAAAAATTAGTGGTTAAAAAATTCTAAAATTATTAAAAAAAAGTTTTCAGGAAGAATTATCAAATCATTGATTTAATATATGAACCATTATCATGTAAAGGTACATTTTAGAGTTAGTGAGCTACTAATTTCTAAATGTTCTGGTAAACAACACTAGCTTGTGTTAATTGGCTAAAAAATAAGTTCAGTCTTACAATTTGTTTAGAGTCTTACCCATGATTATATGCAATTTTTATGACTCAAAGAGCGGGTACTAAATTTTCTAAAATATTAGTTCAAACAATGGTTTAGATTATAAAAAGCAACACAAAAATGTACTTTTTCTGTATAAAATATCTTTTTTTTGTTAAGGAATTTAGAAATTTTTCTGACAATTCTTATAATCTTTTCTTCATTCAAAACGAGAGGTGGGGGAGTTCAAACTAGAAACTATGTATTGTCCCAATAGTGTAATCAAGAGAACAGTAAAAGGATTGAGCCTCTTAACATTATTTTTTTTTTAATTAGTAGTTCTCACTTTTAAAATTAACTTCACAAATCAAAAAAATAATAATAATTGCATCCATTTCAAATATATTCAATTGCATTCAAATATTGTGCATTTTTAAAAATGTTATTTCATGTCGTAAGTTATATCAAGAAAAAAAATACTAACACAAAAATTATTATTAGAAAAAACTACACTAAATTTATGGTGCCTTCTAATTTTCTCTTTAATGGTGCGACAGCTCACTGGCATTCTTTACAATTTGATACTATATAACCCTATCTTTGAGGTGCATTCTTACACTTCCTTAAAACACTTAAGAGCAAAAATTAAGTAAATTACAATCGAACTTTCATAGTATCATTCCTGTGGTTTTAGATAACATGAGATAATATTGCATTTGGTTAAAAAGCAAAAAAACTACTGCATAAAATACAACTATGTTAAATTTTCAACTTACCCATCCCACCATTGTTTCTCGTTCGCCACTGTAATACAACATTTTGAGGGGTCTTGAACTTTTATACATTCTATGATGCAAATACTGGTACAGTCCAAACAGATGGTTCCAGTCATCATCTGTCACGTAAGGAGCCTCCAGTCTTGGAGCAGTATATTGAGCAGTCGAGCGAGATTTGTACAAGAAATGTCTCACTTCTGTGATTCCAACTTGAGACACTGAATACCCTTTGCTGTACACTGATTTCTCAATAGCTTCCATGCAAAAATATTTCTTTAGTCTCTAAATATATATAATAAGAATAAATGAACATAAGGAAAGATATATTAACTTACATGCTTTATTAAAGAATAATTATGTATCAAAACTTTCCATTATAAAAATATAAAATAAAATTAGGATTTTGAAGTTTTAAAGAAAATGTCATGCTTCTTTCTAAATTGCGAGAGTAGATTTTTCGAAATTTGATAACCAATGCATTAGTCGCAAAAACAACATCTCTGTAGCTTAGAAGAAAGAAGAATTAACTGTAAGGTACATTTTGGTTGTAATTAATTGTAAGGTACAAGTTGACCTTTTAATTTTCCATGCATTAAAACCTTAAACCATGTTTTATAGAATTTCTACTATAAACATAAAGTGGTACATTACAATAATAGTATTTAAACCATGAATTTATAACTTAACAGTTTTCATAAGGAGATAGTTCCACAACCGAATTTAGATTTTATTTTCAGGAAAATGGTTTTTATTCAGGGATTTAATAAAAAAGTGCATTATAGCCAAATTTGGCTCTTGCATTAGAAATAAAACTAACTAATAAACCAAGCACCTATTAAATCTCATGTCCAGCTTGGATGATTTACCCATTTTTTTTTTCATTTAAAACAAATTTTTACATTGCCAACAAATCTCTAATGACTAATTCTTAAAAAAAAAAAAAGTTTGTTTATTATGTTGCAAAATAGGGAAAAGACTAAACAGAAAGGTATTTATAAAATAAATTAACAGGAAAGTATATAAGACAAGATGATTAATATAAAATAAATTTTTAAAAAAATCACCAAACTAAAAAGACAAGTTGGGAGAATTTCTCTTAATTTATGCTGCTTATATGCAACACAAAGGGTCAACTAAGAATTATCCAAATGAGTTATGAAATTAAAATATTCCAAATAATTCAATAAGTAACCAATAATACATATTCATTTAAAAGCAATAGATTTCTTTAAAAAGTTATTTTGAGACGCATGAAGGTTTTTTTTAGCACTGTTTTTAAAATGAACCAAATTAAACCATAAGGCAACATACTTTAATAATTAGAAATAATTGAATTTAAAATGCTTGCATCAAACATACCTCAACAATTTTATTTCTGCATTCTTTCAACTCGAAGAATTGATCCTTATCCACAGACAATAACAATAAACAAGTTTTACAATCGTCATCAACATATGAGATATGAGCATGTAAAAAACCACTGAAAATTGAATTCATAAAATATAAGGATACTTGTTATGAGAATTGTACATATAACGTGAATGTGTAAAGAAAAATTCATCCAAAACTGAATTAAATAAAATTGTGATTATTTTTAATTCCAATAAACGAAAAGCTCCAAATTAAAAATGATCTGAGCTCTTTTTCTTACGCAGTAAAGTAGGGAGAATCTTGAAAAATGTAGAAATCAGAATAAAGAAATCAGGTTCGAAAATAGTGGTGGTCCAGGACCACTAAATTTAACTTAGACTACCATAAAATAATTATCAGTGGTCCCCTAGATCAGTAACTGATATAAAAAGATTGTATGTCCTCTTGGTTTTTTTAGTTCCGGGATAAGGTCAGTGTTTTTGTCCTATATAGCATATTTCATAATAATTATATACATTACACATTCTTGACATTCAAATTTTTTATATATGACAAGACAAGTAATATTTTTTTAGATATATTATGCATCTTTTAGATTATCATTTGAACCAGTGATGAATAAAAAATATTTCTTGCCTTTATATTTTCTAGATCAAAATGTAGGGAAGGATTGAATAAAATGGTGACTTCTGATTACTATATAAATTCAAGTATATCTTAAAATATTTAGTTATTTAAAATTATACAAAAAAAGTATCACTAATTTATAGTAAGAGTGGATAAAAAAAACTTATGAGATTGAGAAAAACTAATTTAATTTTTGTAACTAATTTATTTTCGTATAAAAAAAACTAATAGGTATAAAAAAATATAAACGCAAATTCAAGATTTAAGATAAAGCCAGAGTTAACTAAACATTTATCATATAAATCTAAAAATGAGTAGCAGAAAAAAATTCTTCCAGAATTTTTATTTGAGTATAATCAAAAATTATGTATTGAATAAGGGAAGCATAGCATTAATATCAAATCCATAATTTTTGTTTTTCACATTTTGCTATAAATAGATTACATGCAGTATGCTAGTTCGCAGGTTATTGGGATTTGTAACACCAGGTTGGAAAATGAATTATGTTAACATAATTTTGTACACTAAATTTTACATTCAATTTGTTATTATTATAACAAGAAGAATAAAAATGTCCAATATTTTTTACAAAAATTTATTTAGGTTTAAATTGTTTTGAGAAGTCCTGTTTCCTTATTTTATAACATTAAAATTATAAGCATCTATAAATTAATAGAAAAATATTAGTATAAATGTTTCTTCAATACAACTAAAAAAAAAAACATGAGATATTTACAAAGATTACCACAGATGTAAAATAACTGTATAATAAAAATCAGCTGAGTCTACTAAAGCTTAGCAATATAAAACTAAAACCATTCTCTAATAGAATTATTGTCTCTACTTTTTTTAAACAATAAAGTTCTACAAATAAACTTTTTTCCTTTTTTTTTTACACTTAATTTATTTGGATTTTTATCACCAACTTTTAAATGATTGCACAGAGATAGTAAGTAGCTTTAAAAAAAAAAAGTTGCAAATATGTATCACACTTTTTAGGGAAATTGAAGGGTCAGTTTGAGAAAAAAATAAAGCAAGAAGAAAAAGTGTACTTTTTCAGAGGATTCTAAATATATGAAAATAAAAAATAAATTTAATTAGATGAGATATAGATCTGAAAACTCTTTATTTAATAAGTTGGCTATAGGGAAATTTTTTTTATTTTAAAGCAGAGTTGAATATTTATTTAGTTTTAAATTTGATTTTTCTTCTTTTTATCTCACTACAGCCTACTATGGGCCTTGGATTGCTTAACAGTGCTGTTCAACACTTTCTTGTTCTTAGCCTTGAATTTCCTTAACAAAAATATTGCAATTTTTTTTTTCAACTTTTATTTAAATCAATATATAGCTCTTGTTTTATTTGGTAGCTTCATGTTAATTTAAACAGGTAAGAGAAAAAGATAAGCATAGTAATTCATTCAACAGTTAGTGCAAATAAATATTTGTGAAACTGAATTTCAATATTTTTTTGCTAGTTTATGACATAATTTTTTTAGAGATCAGAACAAAAAAGAATTTAAAAGACAGCATTTAAAAAAAAGAAGAAAAATCAAAAAACATTAAAATTCACTTTTTTTATATCCTACAAAATACAGAAAGATTTTTAAAAAAATGTCTTCTAAAAAAACACCATGGGTGAAGGAATCAGGGAAAGATAATTACTCTTTTTTCCAAAGGCAACCTCTAAACATTAAACATGCACATCAGTTCACCTTGAATGATATTTTAATCTTATTATGTTAATAATAGAAAATTATTGTTCGCAAACATATGTTGATCCGAACCTTCGGCAATATTTGATGGCCGAATTGTGTAAATTGTTATTAAAAATTTTCAGTGCTTTTCTAGACATTTTTTGAAAATAGATTTATCTTATTGAATGAGTGATGATCATAGACATTGAAAGATTCTATAACTTTTCTTAATTTATAAACGGTGTTCATCTGGTTTCCTTTACACTCCCCTTCTATATTTTTCCTATGAAGTGCAATTTACATCTACAACTTTTTCTTTTTTTTTTTGTAAGGAGAGTTACGAAGTTTGTTATTTATAAGTTATGCATCATTCAAAACTAGAGAAAATAAAAATTCTAATTTAGACAAGAAAAATATTCAAGAATAAAATTCTTATTTAGGTAAGAAAAAGAGCTTTTCATTATTAAAACATAACAAATTTGATTTCATAAAATGACGAAAATGATTATATTAAAGGATTTGATTATCAAAAGAGGATGACTTTATAATCCAGTGACTTTATAGTTAGTGAGGGTCACTGTATTATTTTTCAAGTGACACACATGACACAGGGTGACCGGTCATGAGCTAAATCTGTATTTTTCAAATTAACTTCAACAGACTAATATAAAATTTCATTACTAGAAAATTAAAAACAAACAAAAAAAATTTTCAAAAGTCGTAGTTTTTACCTGGAATCAAACTTTGGAAGACAGATAGGTAGCCATGTTTCAACAGATTTAAAACTTTCTGAACTGCTTATCAAATTCATTACTATGTGCAAATCAGCTGGATGAAGATAATACTTTTTCATTCTCACTAATGTCACTAGTTGATTATCCACCAATAATATAGCAAAAACAATATTCTAAATAACAGAGATTGAGAAATAAATAAAAAAAATACTATAACTAAATTAGCATGCAATATTTATTAAGAATCACACAAAACATTTTAGGAAATATGGCACAAGAACCATTAGAGATGTTTGTGCCATAAAGCAAATATTTGAAATCTCAAATTTATGTATGGTCTAAGAGATATGAAAAATTTCAGGCACCATTTCAGCTAAGTTGAAATATTTTTAAACTGTGATAAATAGGTTATTTGCTTTTTAATTATTATAAAACAAAGAATGTTTATTTAAATCTTACTGTAACAAATTTTAAAAAAATACTAAAACTTGAATATAATAATGCACATTATGTATTACAAATCACATAAAACATTTCAGGAGCCATGTGTCACAAAAACACTTGTAATGATGTTTTGTATGGCATAAACACCATTGCAGGTGTTTATACCATAAAATATAGATTCCGTACATCATGTAGAAGACCTAAAAATTTTCAGATATCATTTCAGCAAAGTTAAAATCTTTTTAAAAGATGATAAATATTGCAAAAGAAAGAATGTTTATATTCATCTTATTGTGGCAAATAAGAAAAAACTACAACTGAAATAAAACTTATTACTTATTAAAAATCACAAAAAACATTTCATGAAAGATTAGAGAAGTTTGTGTCATAAATCACAGATTTCAAACTTCCTTTTCATGTTCTATTTACAAGACCTGAAAATTTTCAGGTACCATTTCAGCTAAGTTGAAGTATATTTAAAATGGGAAGACAAGTTAGTGCTTTTTAAGCATTAAAATAAAAGAATATTTATATAAATTTTATTGTAACAAATTAAACATCTTATTACAAGACAAATGATAAAACTTAAATGGTTAAAAAGATAAAAGGTAACTATATGACAGGAGAAATCCTTCATAACAAATTCTCTTTCACTTACAGAAGTAATTTAAGGTACAAAAAAAGTGAGCACAGGTACATATAGAGAAAATCATGAAGTTTTAAACGCTGAAATTTTTTTTCAAAACATTAAAATGCAAGCAAATTAAGGCAAAATGACTTACGATTATACAATGGGAAAGTTATCCTACAATAATTTGTTTGCACTTGGAAAACGTTTTATCACTATTTGAAACTTCAGGACTTACTCTAGATTTACTTGAATTCACTTTTTTCTAAACTTTAAAATACTAATGAAGGTGAAACAGAATTTGACATGAAACCTTTCTCCAAGCAGCATAGCTTCCTCTTAAACAGGAAATAAAAATTTAATATCATTGAAAAGAAGAGAAGTTTTGATACAATTTCTGTTAAAACTATTTTAACAGAACTCAGTGTATAGCAGAATCATATTTTTAGGACCCAATAGAGTTTGCTAACAGAAGGATTTCTTTAATGCATTAAAAAAATCACTGTTAACAGCAACAAATGGTTAAATTTTAGGTTTGCTGTAATAACAATTCATATGTTTGCACTTTGATTCAAATAAGTATTTAAGAACAGTTTGGATTTCAAACCTTGAAGCGCTTTCGTGTGACCTCTGCTTTTATTTACCATCAATGGTATGTAAATGAAGGCATGCATTAGGTTTGTTTTGTCCTAAAGTAATAACACAAAATGCAAGAAAAAAAATATGGAACTTGAAGCATAGAAACCTCTAACAACAACATTACCGTAAAAACTTTTGATAACTTGAATCTATGATTGTGAATTGATTATTTGTATGTTTGATTATTTGTATGTTTGATTTTTTGTTATTTTATTTCAAACTTAATAATCATAAAATACTGTTTAAGAATTTAATACAACATATTAACCCACATTTTAAATTGCAGTATTTGTAATTTTAATTTAATATAGAAAAATAACATACATACAATTAAGTGAATGCTTAAGAAAAAAGAAATTAAAGAAAAAAAGAGACTTTTAAAAATATTTATATAAAAAAATTTCTATTTTCAACAAAACCAAAATTAAATCTAGATGAACCATGAGAAACAAAATTAGAACCCAAGTTATGTTCACTGTGTTTTATACAATGTGTTGAATATATTTAACTTACACCTTAGAAATTCCAAATTGTTTACATCATAGAAAATTTGTAACTGTTCAAGAAATTTTACACTGTATTTACAATAACTATAATTAATAAATATTGGCAGACGTTGTATGTGTGTGTGTATATATATATATAAACACAAATAATGAGTATTGTCACGTGAATGGCTAATGGTACCCAATTTGTTAGAAGTAAAACTCAAATAAATTTTACTGTAATTTAATTCATCTGCGAACAAAAACATATACAAGTAATTTTCAGACAAAAATTAATAAATCTCTCCAAATTAATGAATTGCTTACTAGTAGGTTTAGTCCAGCGGATAACAGAGAAATGCAAAGAATTACAACTGGTTTTACCTATTTGAAGGAAGTTTTTAAAAGTAGTCATTTACCTTTATCTTTCCACAGTATTGAGCTAAAGTTTGCCCAATGATTTCTCGAATGGAATTGTCCAGAGACAAGCATTTAACAGCACTTAACAAGAAACAAGGATCTGTATCTAACACTTCAGTTAGACTGTCCAAAAACTTCTCTGCACCACCTAAAAGTCTTCTCAAATCAAAATTACTTCTCTTTTCAAATATTTTGTTGAGGTTAGACATGGTAAAGACAGACACAATTTGATTATATACATAAGTCAGATGGCCAAGAAGTTGCGGAACAGAAGCTTTTGAACTTGTCACAGCTACCAGAATCAATGGAATTCGATGGAGGAAAACAAACTTACGATCACCTGCGTGAATAGATCTAATCATATCTCCATTATGTTGAACAAAAGATACCAAAGCTTGCATCACTCCCATCAATGTTACAAGATGATCTTCACTTCCATGCCTGAAATCATAGTAACGCATTTTATATAATTCTCATAACAAATTCAAATATAATTCTTATAACAAATTGTATAATAAACAGAATTACAACTAAGAAACAGTGAACAAAAAAAAAAACGATATTACTTTGAGCAATTTTTGTTGTAACTGTAAGGTTTTTATTTTATAAAAAACAAATCTCAATGCTTCAAAGGTTTAACTATAAATAAGCAGGTTAATAAGTACTAGAAACTAATTAAATTAAAGAAAATCCCACAAAAATGTACTTCAACTAAAGCCGAAATTTTGGGCTCCTTAATGTTAATTTCACTTATTGCATTTTTAGTCCTATCGCTTAATCATATTACATGATTTGAAGAAATCTTGACCCACATATAAAATCATTTACCCACAAATAATTTCATAGAAAAATAATTTCATAGCATACCATAATATAAGAAAGTAAATAAAATAATCTATATCAGTTACTGTTAACAATGTACTTGTTTTTTTTTATAATTATTATTGAAACACTGATAAAAAAATTTCTTTCTAAATTTAATATACAGTATAAATTATTTGAAAATTATCCTCCAATTATGGCCTATTAATCAATCAAAATCAATGTGAAGTGATTGTAGACTAAAACCAGTCACACTTCAGAGAGTAAAATTTTTTTTTGAAACACAAAATCACAAAAAGAATGGCTCTCAAACTTAAGCACACAAAAAATAACTTTTTATTGCAATTTCTAGTTTTTTGTGAAAGTGTAAAACATAATAGTTCCATAAGTTTCTTTTCAAAACTATACTATGAATCTTTCTATCACCTAAATCATACACACATTCCATTGGTTTTTCAGGGTTTTTTTTCCTAAAAAAAATAGTGTATATTTTAATTTTAGATATATCAAGGATATTTCTTTTTAACAGTATGTTATCCCAAAAATAGCATTGAAACTAGGCCAATTACATCAATTATAGTCACTAATCGAAATTAGTGCATGTGACAGTCTTTCCAACTTCATTTACAGTGAAATGGAATTTTCCATAAGTCAATTTTTTAAAAATATAAATGTGATGTCGTAGGAGATGATGTGCAAGGTTGCTTTAAATTTACAAATATCATATGAGGCAAAATTCCATATTTACAGCTCAATAGACTAACTGCTCTAAGCAAACACCACTGAGTAAAAGACAATAGGAATAAATTGCTTAAACAGCACAATGATCTCCCTACAGCAGATCTCTTTATCAAAATAAGCAGCAAAAGATGTATAAGATATTAAAAGAGAAATAGACATCATTAAACCAATTCTGTACTTCTATTCAGTAAATGGTTGTTTCTTTAGCATAACTCAAATGCCAGTCGATGCTTTTTCTCATTACAGAAAAAATATTTGTCTAAAATATTTCAAAATATACAGTATGTGAATGACGGAAATAAACTCAGGCATTAGCAGGTAGGTGTTAAACACAATACTCCAAAAACAAACGCATTAATATTGCAAAAAAATCTATGAACAAAATCCGTGTACTTAGCCTTTTATAATAGGGATTGTTTGAGAAAAAGTTGCAAAAATTCTTGATCCTCTATTTGCCATAAGATAAAGTGAGAAAAATTAAGAGATCAGGCAGTCTGTGGGACAAACTCTTAAAATAGTTATTTTTAGGTAATGTTATAAACCTTGTCTGAAAACAGACTTTTCAACAGTAATTATTTTTAAAGATAAGAAGTATAAAAGTTTTACAAATAAAATAACGATTGATTAATATAAGAACAACAAATTTATTATTTCTCACAAAGACGCTAGTATGTGGTATGTAATTGTAGTAAAAAAAATTTTTTTAATTAAATATTCAGGGGTCTGTTGAGGCTGAATTTACTATCATTTAGTGGTACCTTTACAAATTCAATTTTAGAAAAACGGTAGTTTCACAAATTCAACTTTAGGAAAAACGGTAGTTTCACAAAATATTTTTTCTTAAAATTTTATTTTTGTATCCTTAAGAAACGATAAATTTATATTTTTACTATGTTTTTGTGTTGATTTTTTATCATCATTTTTAATTTTTTAAAAATTATGTCGAAATTTTCACAAAATAGGTACCTCTTGGAAAAACCTAGACAGACCCCTGATATTGAAAATCATGCAAATAAATAGAGATTAAGGCTGTTGATATCTTTAATTAAATCTTGATATTAAGTCTCACAACTCAAAAATTTAAAATTAATCATATAATAACTCCCTTATCTCATAGAATCTTTCCTCTACATTTAAAGTGATATAAATAATAGTCCTATATAGTAGTATAACTTTTTTCCTATAACCATATAGTTTCATACAAAAGCATTAGCAAAAGGATACCTAGAATATATTGGTTTCCCTGCTTCACTTAAAATAAAAATATGGTTTTTCTGGTATTTCCATACAGGATCATTCAACTCATCACAATCTCCTGCTAATTCATCCGTTAGAAGCTCACTATGTATAGAAGTTGTATCACTTTTTGTTTCCACCTAAATAAGTAACAAAGAACACAGGGTCAAATAGCAAATTAAGAAAAGAAAAATATAAATATGGCATAAAAGAGATGAAAGAAACCATTAGGAAAAACAAATCAATTTAAAAGTTGCATATCAAAGAAACATAGAAAATAGTTTCCGGTGAAAAATTAAGAAAAACTATATTTCATTAATCTTATCAAAATTCTTAAGTTTAAAATTTATCTTGGTTTAATTAAAGAATAAGGGTGGAAAAACCCAGTTGACAAATGACAATAAATTGCTTTTGTTTATGATGCTCACGGTTCATGTCTTTCTCTTGCCTGCTTTTCATGAGATTCACTATTAGTATGCCAACATTTTGAACAAAATTGATTCTGAAGGAGCCATACAACCATTGCTATTACAAAACTTACAATGCGGAATTTAATAATAACTGAAAGAAAAAAATTAACTGAACAAAAAACTGATTACAAATTGACTATAACTCTCTTTTCAAATTCTATATAAAAGACAAGTGCTAAAACAAAGAGTAGAACTATGTTCCATTTATAACTAACTACCTTTAACTATTGTATAATAAAGATATGAAAAACATATACTTGAGAAAAATTAAGTGTGCATTAACTCTTTTGAACTAATGGTACCATGATTAATATAATGAAATAAACTCGTCACGGCTGGTTGCTCTAACAATTAATGTTAAAATGTAATTAATTAGGTCCTTAAATTTCTAGAAAAATATTGAAATGAGTAATTTTAAAATGGTATTTCCATTAGAACTACTGTTAAACTATACCTTTACAATTTGACTTTCGCTTTTGTAACTGATAAAGGTAAGACCTTATTGAACCGATTATATAACCTTTAATCAAAAAGTAAAGGGGTACTTCTGTATCGTGATCTGTCAAGCGAACTACAATTTTAAAGGCATCAAATTGATTTTAAAAGTGATTTGAGCACCAATTGATTTTAAAAATTTAAAAAAACATGTAGAGGTTTGACTGAGGGTGGCTACAAGTTATACCCTTCGATTTGGTCCCTTTCTCTGATGTTTCTTTTTGGTTTCTCGCTGACCACTGCCAGGAAGTTTGCCAAGACTTGGCGATTATTCAGAAACAGATCACGATACGAAGACCTCCCCAAAAGTAACAGTAGCTCTTCTTGCATTAAGCCACAAATATAATTAAAAAATATAATTTTATTTTTTCAAATGTAACACTGAAACGATGACTAATTCAAAGCTTGTTTCAATAACTTATCATCCTACACAATAAATACAATGGCATTATTCAAAGAATATCAGATAATAGATCAAATAATCATCTTGTATGGCGTTATTCAATGTTTCTAATAAAGCTCTATTTACGTGGAAAAAATTATTACACTGGTTTTAGTTTTTAGACTGCCATCAGTTTGACTTTCGTCATTAAGATTATCTTCAAGCGAAATACCCGCAACACTTTTCTCTATTTCACTTATGCAACTACTTTTCCGTTGCAAGACCTGAAACTCCTCATTTGAAACACTTTCTTCCTCAAGAGATTTAGTAGATAAAAGAACAGAGGTTCTGGAAGCTCCAGGTTCAAAATTCTTTGGTAATTCGTGCTCATCTTCGCAGCATATCTTGGTATCATTAGGACTTTCATTAGTTTTATTTTCAACCAAAACATTGGCAGACGCCATAAGTGTTTACAATTTTCAGATAATGTGCAGTGAAGTTGAGTTGTTAAATTTTCGAAATGAATGCAATTAACACTTCCGCTTGTTTGTTTCTGTTCATTTAAAATATGTCAATCTCACACTATAGATTCCATTCTTGCTGTATTCAATTTACATCGCATCCATTGACACACATACGTGAATAATTTCTCGAGAAGCATTCTCACCCCAAATACAGTTGCCGAATACAGCATTCTCACCTAATACAGTTTATTTAAACGAAAACAAGATAAAAAATTATGTTTATAACATTAGTGAAGGAATGATAATTTATTTATATTTAAAAAAGATAGCAGCTATCCCTCATAGATTTCCCCAATAGCCCATTGTGCAGCTCTAGTGCGACGTAAATTAACAACAACCAAACAACAACAACCATCATAGATTTCTGAACTCAATCACATAAAAATATATTCTAACAAGAAAGCAAACTATAATTGTATTTTTGAATAACATTATATTTAATTTTAGTTTTAAAAAAGACATGAGATAATGATAAATAGAAAAATATGTTTCCTGGTTTGATACCTACAAATGTATTCCACAGTAGCTAAAAAATCAAAGATGCTTCAATGTTGCTAGTTATTAATCATTGAAGTTAAAAGTTGTCAGTTACAAATTACTAAAAGTGAATCATTAAAGATTTTATTCTGTGGTGATTTAGGAGAGTTAACCCTTCTTAAAGCCATGGCAAGTACACTTCCTACTAACTTCATTAATTTTTTAAAGTCGATGGGAAACTAATTTTTCTACCTATTATTTGTGCGACCATCTGTTATAACTGCAGAAAATAAAAACCAACGATTGGCTCCCTCTATATAATTGGGTATAATATGAAAGAAACACAACTACTTCGATTTAGTAGCTAAACGAATGGAATTTAGTTGTTGTTTATTTAGTTATTGTTATTAGTAGTTGTTGTTATTTGTTTTAATTGTTGTTGTTTATTTAGTTGTATTTAGTTTCAATAACTTTTCTTTATAATGCAATAAAATCTGGGGTGCAGCTATTTAAACGATCGAACACTTCGTTTGTTTATTTGTGGCTTGAAGTTAGGCTCGCAGAAAATGCCGTTCATGGGTTAAATTTAGTAGGAACAACACAACCTGTGACGTAGGCTATATTATACCCAATTATATATAGACCTGCTGTAATCCGCATTTAAATGCGGGTTACAGTAAAGTTATCATGGGGTTACAGTAAAGTTATCACTGGCCTTTATTTAAATAAAGGCCAATGCAGGGGAGCTATTTTCTCTTGTGTGCTATGCTTTTGTTTATTTATTCATTTCTCACAGAGTTTATTTGCAGTTTCATAATATTTTGCTGTAATGGAAAGGTTCAACACATTAGGGACAACAGCAAAATAATGCTACAGAGATATATTTACTAAAAATTACATTTGAAAGTGATTTTCTGAATTCAAAGTTTCAATATTTTTAAATGAAAAACATAATTTCTGTAAAATTACCTATTTTATATTTGAAAAAAAAAAAAATTCTTTTTCTCTTTTTAATCAACAAATGAAAGAATGCCCTACTAGGATACTTTTGAAAGATACTTTATTTTAAAAATAATGCATAAGTCAGAAAATAAATATAAAATAAACTGGGGATATGGCTGTTGTTGTTGTTCATTTACGTCGCACTAGAGCTGCACAATGGGCTATTGGCGACGGTCTGGGAAACATCCCGGAGGATGATCCGAAGACATGCCATCACAATTTTGATCCTCTGCGGAAGGGATGGCACCCCCGCTTCGGTAGCCCGACGACCTGCACGCGAAGTCGAGCACTTTACGGTAGAACAGTTTAACGAGGACCAATACCGCACACCCTCGGAGTCCCTACGCAGACTGACCCAAGTGGTCACCCATCCGCACACTAACCGCAGTCAGTGATGCTTGACTCCGGTGATCTGCTGGGAACCGTGTCTTAACGATCAGTCCACTGCGGGACCTGGGGATATGGAAATAGCAGTTTTGTGCGAATGACCTATAAGATCAATGCGCCTAAATGCGACACGATTTCATATAAGTTTGTCGCATTTAGGTCTAACTTGACCTTTTATTAGATATATTCATTAAAAATGGCTGAAGTATTGCGACTTCAGTTTTAAACAAATTTTTCTTTCTAAAATAGTCTTGCATTCAGGGCATTTCTGTCGCATTTAAGGTAACTAGTCCTTAAACAAGACAGAGCATTTTTCCAATGTTTTCATTCACTTGCTTTTTGTGTCGCTAACAATGAAATCTTACATCTAAAATTCTGAACCCTTTCCTAGAATGCTCCATGTTAGAAGACAATATAAATTTATTTTAAATCAATTCATGATGAATACAAGCAGTGTTTATCGCCATTTTATCGATTTGAGCTAATCGCCAATCAAAATTCCTACAATTTTATGTAGAGTACTTAAAATATAGTGCCAAAAAATTTTTTTATCATTATCCCAGATAAAAATTTATCATCAATCAAAGTTCTAATTAATTTTGTAGTTGCAACCTGAATTAAAATTGTAACAACACCTTTCTATTTGACAAAAATGTAAGTTTCAACCATTTCTTGACAGTAACAAGCAGAATTTATCGTCATATTATCATCAAAGTCAAATAGGAATAATATCCATAAAAATTTCGACTATCTAAAGTTGTCAAATTTTCTCTGGAGTTCGATGTCCGCTGACAACAGAAATTTCAATGATTTTCTATCCATTGTAAAAAGAATTTATCTTCAAATGGAATTTATCGTCAATAACAATAGCTTTCTGATTAGCGTGTTCAATTTTTAACTTATGCAACGAATATAGTGATAATGCAAGTTACAATTGTTTCTGAAAGCTACGAGAAAAAATTATCATTAATAAAAATTTCAGCAACTCTCCCAGCTTTGTTAAAATTTTAACTATATTTCTGGGCCTGATACCAATACAATGCTTTTTTTGCCCCAAATCGTTTATAAGCACAATGCGGAAAAAGAAGAAGAAAAAAACGGACCATACATGGCTAATCTTCACGTTCTGGAACTCAATCCTAATGGTTCGGGAGATTGACCACAAATGAGCTAATTAATTAGTGAAGGCGATATTTTAAGTTACGAATACCGCTACAAAAATGTATTTTCTCTGAATAAACATGCCTTTTCCACCCCAACGGATTTCGAACCCCCCAAAAATATATGGGGTAACCGCCATCTAGGAAACACGGTTCCCATAGTTTGGTCAGGAGAGCGAGTCAAAGTTAGGACTTCGTAATGTTAATTTACTTTTTGCGTATTTCGTCATACCTCGAGAACTCTTTAAGCAAATTGAAAAATTTTTGCACACTATTATAAAATTCAATAATCCAAAGATAATTCCGTAAAGAAAATAAATTTTAGTAAATATTTATTATTTAATTTAAAACTAGTCGAAAAATGTAAATAAAATACAAAGCATGGTAAAATACAAAATTTGAAAGAAATCGGTCGAATAGTTCTTGAAAAGTCGAATTTTAAAAAAGTCGTACATTAAAAATTCAATTTCTCTCTAATTCTGTATTTTGCCATCTAAAATAACTTACTTTAAAATGACGGGGAAAAAAAAATTATATCTTTCAATTAAAATTTTTTTTGAATATTATTAAATAAATTAGTAGAAAGTAATAAATATTTCAAATTTTAATTCTTTTTGAATGGAATTATCTTTGGATAAACGAATTTTATAATTGGGTTTAAAATTTTTTTGATTCGTTTAAAAAGTTCTCAAGATATGGCGATATACGCAAAATATAAAATTAACATCAAGGAATCAAAAATTCGGATCATTCTCCTGACCAAACTATGGGGACCATATTTTTTCGATTGCTGCAACCGGCTTTACTTTGGGGGTCAGAAATCCGAATCCATGGAAAGAAAGATATGTTCACTCAGAGAAAGTATGTTCGTTAGGTCAGGAGTACGGTCCTAAGTTTGGACTGCTTAATGTTAATTTTACTTTTCTCGTATTTCACCGTACCTCGAGAAATTTGGAAAAGAATTAAAAAATTTTAGCACACAATTTAAAAATCCATTTGTTCAAAGAGAGTTCTATGCAAAATATAACTTATAATAAATATTTAATAACAGTTGCAAAACTTTTGTGTTGTATATAATATAAGATATACAACTTTTTAACTAATTTTAAAGAGTGAGTGTGATTTTAAATGAAATCGATCGCATAGTTCCTGAAAAATCAAATTTTGAAAAGTCGTATTTGAGACCGATTTCGCTCAAGTTTTGCACATTATGTTTTGGGGGTCAGAAAATCGGGTCCGTCGAAAAAAAAAGGTAAGTTTATTCAGTGAAAGTACGTTACTGATTTCGTAATTTAAAATAACCTGCGCCCTAATTGATTTTCATATTTGAGGTCACCCTTACAAACGAGTAAGATTGAGTCTTAGAACGTGAAGATCCGATCACTAGATCAAAATTTATTCAGGGTGGTCTGTTTATTTTTCGTGCACTGCACGTGTGTAATCTGCATGCTTAAATTGTATATATATTGTAACTATATACACAAGTATAAATAATGGTAGTACATATAAACCTATATTTTGTGTATATAGTACATGCAAACTCTGCGCACAGACATACATTTTATGTACTTACTAACACATGTTAAATGTATTTGTATACATATATTGCACACAAACAAGCTTTCCATATACATATAATGTATGTCAATATATACCTTCATATACTGTATGTTTTATCGCATTAGAATTTGCTCTGTAATCGTTTATTATATTATTTATAATTTATATCAGCTAATCTTAATCATATGCTTTCACATATTTTAATTTTGCTCTCATGATTACATGTAAACGTAATAACATGCAATCAGGATCAGTTGCTATCTCATCTTTTGATTAATTGTTATCTCACATGTAACCATGATTATTTGCAATCATTTGTTTCGACTAAATTTAATCATAACTACATGCAATAAGAGATAATAGATATTTGTAATTACTTGTAATCACAATTACAAATAATTAATTGCATAGTAGTTATGATATGAAAACAATCCATAATTAACACCTAACTCTGGAAAGGCAGCAGAAAGCATCGCATTTGAGAACAGCAAACTATCGCAATTTGGGCCACTTGAAAAATCTGTCTCTAAATGCAACACATATTTTACAAGGCTTCTAAAATAATTACAAGTGATGTTTTCTCGTTCTTTTCTTGTGGCAGATTAGAAAGATGTTCAAGGCAGTGCCGCAGTTGAGGTCGTATTATCTGCAATCGCTTTTCGGGGGGAAACATTTAGGACATGCGGTAAAATTGCAACAAGAATCCAGTTAAAAATTGTTTTAAATGTAGTGAAATAAATTGGAATGTGCCCCTGAGATACGAAATTTTCATTCTATTGCATTTATAGATGAATCTTGAATTAGGATTTAAAGTAACTGAACATTGTCCCATTTAAGGAATATCACTTTATGGCACACTGATCTTATATAGTTTATAACTCAAACTGTGCTACATGTTTAAGGTTTCAGGGTCTCAAAATGTGGCTATTTTTCATTTTTTCTTGCTGAAAAAGTTTTAAAGAATGCACTGGCAGCTGAAACATGCAAGAGAAAGAAGGAAAAAATTAGATTAATCTTTTTATTTTTTCTTCTTTGTTGAAGTGTCCACGTAAGGAAAGATAGCATTTTAGTGTTTTAGGAACAATAAAAATATTTTTTTTTCTAGAGATATGCTCAAAGATGAAAATTTTTATTTTGTTTTGTACATAAATATTTGGAGAACTTTTAAAAGCAACAAGTTTTGAAATAAATTTGAAAAAAGAAAACATACATTATGTTTTTACACAGGATAGTCTTTGCAACAATAATTTACCAAGTTCATAAATAGCAATAGCATTAAAATTATTCTTAAAGATAAAAAATAGGTTACACATCACTAAGAAGAGCGACAATTTCAGGTTTTAAATAACTTCCATTATCTTCACCGGAACCATTCTCCCACAACAAATTCAAAACGGCTGCAGGCACTAGCTTTAATTCTAATAACGAAAGACTGTTGTCTGTAAGCTTTAATCCTCCTGGGAGCAAAATCTGAAAGCTCTTTGAAGGGTCTCTAAGATATTCAGCTACAAATTCTTTCACTGCCTGCAACTTTTCATGAACATAAAATGTACCCTAGCAGTAAAAGAAATACAATAGTAAATATTAATCTTATTATAATTAAAATAAAATATATTCCACGCCTGCAACATATTTAAAGAACATTAATTAAGGATTTAGACATTTAGAGATTTGTAATATGAATTTCTGGAGCTGCTTACAATTTTGCAACATTTCAAACATTTCTAAGGAAACATTTTTGGCAAATATTAAAGCAATAATTTTATATTTCCTTAAGCAAAAATTTTACCATAATTGGAAATAAAATAAGAAGTTTTGTTCAGTAATGTGAGTCAATTAGAATAAATAGCACATTGATGCAAATTTTTTTTGTACATTTTATGATATAGCAAATACTAAAATTTTAATTTATGCATAGTGATGTTATAAAATAAATTCTCTTTTTTGAAAAATTACTAAAATTTAATAAAAATATTGAAATCATAATCAAAGTAATTTCATAATCATAACCAAAGTAATCAATTCCAGACAATTTAATTACTTTGTGTGGGGTTATGATTATGAAATTATCAAATCCCACTTTTACAATTAAAGTTAATTTTTACTGAATGTCATTAATAGCTCTCTCAAAACATAAAACCAACACAAGGTATAATAAAAGATATAAAATTATAGTAAGGAAGAATTAAATTATTACTTTTAATATAACACTAAAATGGGGATTTTTAGATAAGATTAATATTTAAATTTAATTTTTTTTAACACTGCAACTCTTTCAAAATTAAAATTGTATGATTTGAATATGTGTTCCCTTTTCTTTGAATTTTCAAAAAAAGCTTAATTCATTAATTTATAACAAACAATAATCAGTTCAATCACCATAACTAAAAAAATAAAACAATATATTTATATACTTATGTCTTGTGAACATTCCTTATTTAATAGGCATTCAATATAAAAATTAACATTGATTAGAAAAAAATATTAAAAAATAAAAGTTACCAGAATTATAAAAGATTGCACAATTTTAAAGAAAACAGTCATAAAAATGCCAATTTTTTTTTTATATTCAAGAAAATTATATAAAACTAAATTTTTGAACAATATATGCATTTATTTTCAATTTTTGGGTAAATTTTTCAGCTTACATGTTTCAGTGCTGAAAACTATTTTAAAATAAAGTAACTATATCTTATTTACCTTACAAATATTTTGATACTCTGGCCATCTGGTGCATGGGTCGAGAAATAAACAAGATTCTGGGCATAAGAAATTCAGTATTTTAATCTTTTTAGCACTATACTTTTAAACAATCTAGCCCAGGAATGTTAAGGGCGTGAGAAATAGNACAGGGGTCTGTCTAGGTTTTTCTGACAGGTACCTATTTTGTGAAAATTTAAACGTAATTTGTGAAAAATTAAAAATTATATTAAAAAATCAACACAAAAATATGGATTTATCGTTTCTTAACGGATACAAAAATGAAATTTTAAGAAAAAGTATTTTGTGAAACTACCGTTTTTCCTAAAATTGAATTTGTGAAACTACCGTTTTTCCTAAAGTTGAATTTGTGAAGGTACCGCTAAACGGTAGTAAATTCGGCCTGGACAGACCCCTGTAACTATATCTTATTTACGTTACAAATATTTTGATACTCTGGCCATCTGGTTCATGGGTCGAGAAATAAACAAGATTCTGGGCATAAGAAATTCAGTATTTTAATCTTTTTAGCACTATACTTTTAAAAAATCTAGCCCAGGAATGTTAAGGGCATGAGAAATACATGATGAAACTTCACCTCATGATTTTTTTTTAAAAGGTTACAATATTTTTAAAGAGAAAATCTGTGCCCATTTCCATCATTATTGAAGAAGTTAAAATCGAAGAAAAAAAGTACAAAATTCAGAAATGTGTGTATCTCTTTATGAGTGCAATAACTGTTATTATTTTTTTTGTTCACAAGCTATACATTTAAAGCAGCAAACTAGTACTAGCTATATTAATATTAGCTCAAGTCACATTTTTTACTCTTGAAAATTTCACCAAGTTTTAACTTTTTTGTATAAAGATTTTGAATAAGCTTACAAATGGCATGCATTTCAACTGTACAAATTTAGTCAAGAGGAAGTTCATATTAAAAGAATATAAGAAATTTTTCATGTGGAAAAACAAAACAAAACTGGTGAGTAAGAAGCAATGCAAAAATTAGGGATACCTATTCCGGTACACCCTGTACACTAATATTTTTACAAATTAGTAGTTAAAACAATTTCTTTTACGTACCTGCATGAAAATATCATCTGGGAAGCGAATCCTTATCAGGGCAAATTTATACCTATGGAATTCTCTAATTTCATCTCTTTCTCGCATAGCTTTGGTGCGAAGTTGAGTCATAAGTTCTACAGTTTCTGCTCTAAAATTAAAATGTATTATTTTTAGATTTGTTAATAACAATGAATTAAGCCCTACATAAGCAGATTGGTATTTAAGACCCAAGTAAATCTTCAGAAAATAAAAATTTTACATACAGAGCCATAAATGAGAAATGGAATACCTTAATAACTACTGATCTAATGAACACATTTTAACGTATGAAAAAGCAATCTTAATGGTTAGGAAGTGTTAGTGTAAATAAGATTTGTGTAAATTATATTTTAAATTATGAAATAAGGCACAACTTTTTAATAAAATAATTACATCTATTTTACTTAGTTTAAGCCAGCAATTTTTAATTTCAGTTGATAGAAGTTGCAGTGGAGTAAAAAAAAAAGAGTTATTTGTTTATATTATTGAAAGAAAAGAAAAGAAAAAAAAAACTGACTAAAAGACACTCTGTTTCTAACAGTACAATCACTTAATATCATTTACGTCTTTTTGAATGCTTAAAATACTACCTATTAATTTTTTCTTTTAAACTAAAATTTTAAATAGAACTTAGTTCTGCTATAGACTAATTGTTGGGAATTGATCCAAATAATTTTAATAGAAACTATTAAAAAAAAAAAAAAACTGTACTGCTAGATAAATTCTTCTTTCACTAATAAATAATAAAAATAACACCACACGCTTATAATTAATTATTTTTATGGTTTATCATATTTTCAATGAGAAATGTGCTTTAAATTTATGTTCAAAATTTGAAAATTAACATACATATAAACAATGCTTTGTCTTTATGAAACCCAAAATCAACTTTTTGTTAAACATAATTAGTTTTGAGTGTAAGATTAAAAATGCATTTTTAAAAAAATTATACTTGATTATAAACATTTCGATAGTGTTATAATTATTCACAAAAATACATAGTTTATAAAATTTCAACACAAAAATAGACATAAAAAATTTTGGAGTAGTCCTGGACCATATTATGTACTTTATTTAAGAAAAGATAATGTTCATTATTAAAGACAAATTCAATTTTATCTCAAGTAATATTTAAAACTAAAAAGTAATATTCCTCATGACATATTCAGAAAAAAATGTTTGCAGCACCCATCTTGCCAAGATTTTTTTTACATCAATATTTTCATTGAAAATTCCATGCAGTATAATTTGAGATATGTTTGTGACCAGGGCCTCGTAAAATATGATTGTCTTACATTGCTGTTGTTGAGTAATAAATTTTCACTGGTAACTATACTTTTCCTATAAATTTTCAAATAAAACTTGAAATTTTTTATATCTTTATATTTGGATGTAACAAACCAACATGGGAATTGATTTTGAAAGACATATTTTTTTCTTCATAAATATCTTAACAACATTTCTCCGCTGAATATGTACAAACGACTATGTAGTGAGAGATAAAGATTTTAAAGAGCAAACCTTTTTTGATATAACAAGCATCAGAATTGGCATGATTTTAATGGTTAAAATTGGATTTCAATACATTTTGGTTTTTTTAAAAAAATCATTGAGACTTCATTAGGCCAAAAATATCTAAACATAATATTATTTAAAAATATATTCTTAGGTCATGATTGTTTTTTTAAAAAAAAAAAAAAAAAAAAAAAAATCTCATTTCATTGATAGTTAAAGTTTTGAGCAAAGAAATAATAATGAAGAAATAGATATAAAATACTACCTTTCAAAATAGACTAATATATATATATATATTCAAAATAGACTAATATATAATATATATATAAAAAGACTTGAAAGTAGATAAAAGTGACGTGAAAGTTTTAAATTATAATTTTCAATAAGCTGTATGTCAAGTAGCAGAATCCCTTGGGATAGACAGCAGGCACTACAGATTATTACAGCACATGCAGATTATTTTTCATTTAAGTTTTCTTTTTCTTTTTAAAAAGCAAACAAGAAAAAGGGAAAAAATTGCTGACACTATCTTTTTTAAAACATGTCTAAACTTCTTTTTAATAAAAATTTAATTGAGGAAACATCTCAAACAACAAAAAGTAACCAATTTTTTTTATTCTGTTACTTGATTAGACTGTATACAAATTTATTCCATTCATTTTCAATCTCATATATTATAACTAATTTAAATTTGAACAACATAAAATTTTGATGCATAATTTTTGTAGACTTTATACTTGCAAATTTTGCTATATGTATGTAAGATAAAGTTGAATTTTTAAAATAATAATCTTTTCTTGCATTTAAGGTTGCAGACAAATTTGGATTTTTGAAAATAATATTGCAGATTTTATTTCTGCAAATTCTGCCACTGGGGCTGTGTGTAGAATAATTTGTTTATGATAAACATATTTTAATTATTCCATTTAGTTTTAAGTTTATTAAAGTAAAACTGTAGCTAAAACTAGTTAATTAAGACATGTTTAGCTTATCCAAAAATAAATAAAAATGATATAATTAACTATATGATTAGTTTGTTATGATTAAATAATAATTTTTATTTTGGTTAAAAATATTAACTATTTCAACAAAATTATTTGCTTTCATAATACTAAGCATTATTAATATATTTTATCAGATGATTTGGATGATAATTATTAAACCTGATTTAACTAAAAAAGTTTACAAAAAAAAGTTTTAAAAAAAATATATCCAATTTAAATCAAATAAATCTGATCTCTTTAAAAAACTCTTGATTTTGCCAACATTCAAGAGCATTATCTTAAGAATTTTCTAAGGACTTATTAAAAGACTTTCATATGCCAGTATATGCATTGTTAAAATCTTTAATGCTGTTTAAATTAAAAGTCAAATAAGGAACAATCAGTACGTATGGATACACATACTTAGTTTCTTGTTCTCTTTTGAGTTCTTCAGCTGAAAGATGAAAAAACTCTTCTGGAAGATTTATTTCACCAGCTACTTGAGCAGGACGCAATATTCTCAAATTTCGGTCTAAGCAAGGAAGAATCGGTTCAGCACTTAAGAGAGCTTCTTTCAACATTTGCATATTTTCAAAGTCACTTTCATGACTCCTTGAAAATACTAAATATTCTTCATGGTCAATAACTTGTTTGGAAAATCCAGCAGCGGATAGAAATTCAAAAGCTCCTTCAATACCTACAATTCTTTCTTGGAAAACTTTGTTATTCAATCGAATTTTCCGATATTTCTCTTCTTCTGGATTGTCTAGTATATTTGTTAGATATCTAGAAAGAGTTTCTATAGCAACACCAAGCTACGAATGAAAAAGGAAAAATAGAATTATTAATAAAATGTTAATGAAATAATTATGAATGCTATTAAACGTTAAAAAGCTAATTATCTAAAGATAACATTTATGCAAAAGATGAAAAAAGACCTGTTTAAAATTCAATAGTCTTGATCAATAGTTCCCAATTAATTTCACCCATGGAACCCTAAATAATCAACATTCTCTTGCCCAGAATCTCGATTTTATAAATAAAGTTCATTTCTTATATTGCATCTGTTAATTAATAACACTAATAATAGTTTTTAAAATATTTAACGTTAAGAATAAAATTTCATAATTGTTCCTTCATGAGACAAAATTAGGTTGGTGCAACAGCTAAATTGCTAAACCATTGCAAGATGCAATGGTTTAGCAAATTTGCAATGGTTTAGTCCACATTGATTTCTTTTTTGGAGTATGGATAAACTGAAAATAATCTTTATATATGATAACGTAAAGAATTTATGCGTATGTCTGCATACCAAATTGCAAGTATACTTAGGAACTAAAAATATTGACATTTAACATGAAGCTAAACAAGAACAATTAAATTTCTATTTTAATTTCGAGATATTTAAAAAAATGAAAGTTTCTTATTGGTGTAGACAAGAACAATTGGTGTTGAACAAGAACAATTACATTTCTATTTTAATTTCGAGATATTTAAAAAAATGAAAGTTTCTTATTGGTGAAGCTGAAGTCAATATTTTAAACTATAGACCATTCAGTTTTGTCAAATATTTTAAAGATAATACGTGATGCTTGATAGCTCTAATCAAAAATGTTGTTTATTGCACCTTCTGCAATATTTAAATATTTTATATTCGTTATGCAAGATAATGTGAATGATCAATGTGATCATGGTAGCACAGGCAGACTATGTCCCCTATATATGTACAGTTATGCTTTTAAAATGTGTTACTACAGAAATAAACAATTTAAAATCAACAGCAATTGTAATAAAAAAATTAAGTTTTGAATTGAAAAGCAAAATTAATGGAGAAATAGTACTAATTTGTTTGACCCTCTTATATATTTTTTTCTGACGCTCTAATTACAAAAAAAAATAAATTATTTTGCTATTTTCCAATAATAAAAAACAGTCTAGTAATTATTCAAAAAATCTGTAAAAATATCATATTTCTATTTGTACTAAAATATGAAATCTAAAAAGAGCAGTTTGAATTTTTTTTTCATTCATATTCAAAAATGTATCAATAATTGATTTTGTAAATTAAAGAAATTTTCAATGATTAATAACTGTTTTTCTTAGAACTAAATGTCTGCAAATTTGAAAAAATTATTGTTTGGAAGATTTGACCTTTAATGGCGAGTAAGATACGTAGATTTAAAGTCTTGTTTCATGCTGTATTTAAAAACCATAAAATATTATAATGCTAGATAATATATTTTTCACTGATTTTGCACACCTCAATTGATACACAAAATAATGAAAAGAGTAAAAANTTAAAGTCTTGTTTCATGCTGTATTTAAAAACCATAAAATATTATAATGCTAGATAATATATTTTTCACACCTCAATTGATACACAAAATAATGAAAAGAGTAAAAAAAAATTAAAAAAAAAAACATTTAATATAAATTCTGCAACAAAGGGTTAAGAGAGTGTAAAAGATTGGCAAACTATTATTGACATTAATGATGCTCAATTAATTTTAGTTACTGGTACTAATTTAAATAAAAAAAAAGCTATGTACTAAAAAGCAAAATTAATGGAGAAAACGTATACTGTTTTTTTTAATGATAGATACTGCAGAAGTTTTTATTATGGACCTTGGAAGATACACTTTTCCAGCCACATTAATGTGATATTTTCAATGTCAATGCAAAATAACCAAAAATCGAAGGCAGGTGGAAGCACATTGCAGTGGAGCATATATATAAAGGGTGTCCGAGAGAGTCGGAAAACATTGCAACCGTTGACATAATATAGAAAGGAAGTTTTTTAGCCCACATCTAAGAGGGCATGATCATTGGCTTTGAGGCCAAGGGTGGAAGAATTTCCAAGATAGCTAATTTCGTAAACTTTTCAAGAGCTGTTATGGTAAATATTTACTGTGCACCATACAAAATCAACAGTGTTGATTTTGTATGGTGCATAGTTGTTGAGGGAATGACCGTTTAGATGAAACAAGAGGGCATCAACAGTCTCCTCAATGACAGTTCCGTAAACGTTGCTATTGCTAGGCCTTCACAGCAAGTACCTGGTTAATGCTCTTATGCTGTTCTTAGGTTACAAAATCTTTAATTTGCATGTACCTTTAACATATATTGTTCATAAAACAGCATTTTTGCTGAGAAAATAACTTCCTCAGAAAATATAAGACTTGTGATGATTTCTTAAAAAAAGTAGCTAAAAATAAACACGTAATTAAGATATATATATATATAATAGAACTCTCTTGGAGCAGATATCATAAAAAAAAAAAAAATGGTTTGTAGAACAGCTAAGTGTTCAGGTTTTCCAGTTAAGAAGTTAAAGCAAAGTAAAAATGATTAATTTCTTAAAATTAAGTTATTATGATTTCCTGCAAACAAAATTATTTAAACGACAATTTTATATTTTGACTATCAATCCAAAGACAAATCGTAAAAGAAGTTTACTTGAGTTTTGTCTTGTATGCCTAAACAGGAAGTCAAAGTTTGTACATAGAATTGCAGAAAAATATAATGGGCAAAGCTATTGTTTATTTATCTAAAGAACTCCCGTTAGAGCCTGAGATTGTCTGCTACAATGGAAAAAAAGAAAGTACAATTTAGAGAGGGGTGTGCTTGATTATCCCCTCACTGAATCCTGCCAAAACTTATACACCACATCCCTACTTAAAATGATTAAATCTTTAAACCATAGTCACCGACAGTACTCCAGAGTATTCTGAGGAAGAGAGTTCTTTAGGCAGACTATATTTTATGCCATATGACATCATGATATGGAAAACAAATAAAATTCTCCGTATTAGCTATTTTATTTTTCAAAAATTGTATTCACTTATATATTTATTTTGATCAATACAGTTATAAATTGAATTAAAGTTATTAAAAAATCTAAAATTCTGTGCAGTATAAGTAGGAAAACTTATATTTACAATATAAAACTACTTTTGAAATGAATTAATTGTTCATGTCTGTTAAAAATTAAATGTAAAATGCATACTTTTCAATGTACTTTTAAATGTAAAATGCAAACATACTTTTTCTTTATTTCTGCTTAAAGTGTGAATAATTAAACATGCTGTAAGGCCTTTTTCTTCTTCATATTGTTCATACAAAAAGGTCTTTATCCGTTCCTCCATTTCATTCCTTGGTAAAATTTCTGGACCAAGTAAAGGACACTTAAAATATACCCCAGATACAGCTAAAATGGAATGGTCTGTTTTGACAACCTAGGAAAGAATTGCTAAAATGAGATTAAACTTTTCAGGGACACAACATGGAAATCATTAAAAAAATTGTTCAATTCCTTTGAAGTACAGGGCTGTCAACTACTACGCTTTTGGCAAATTATTTTATAGAGTGAATTTAACTTTTTGCATACTTTGCTGTATTTCAAGAAATTTTTAAGCGAATTGAAAAAGATTTGCACACAATTATAAAGTCCGTTTATACTAAGATAATTACATGCAAAAATTAAATTTCAGAAAATGTTTATTAATTTTTACATTATTTTAAAGCATCTAATTTTACATGGCAAAATACTAAACTTGAGCAAAATCGGGTAAATAGCTCCTGAGATATTGAATTTTAAAAAAGTCACATATTTAAAATTTATTAAATCAAAAAAATTTAATACCTTACAATTCAAAATTTTTTCTACTATTATTAAGCAAAACAACAAAAAATATTTACGAAAATCTATTTTTTTTTTTGCATAAAATTATCTTTTGATAAACAAATTGTATAGTTGCATGCAAAAATTTTTCAATTAGCTTAAAGAGTTTTTGAAATAAGGTGAAATACGCAAAAAGTAAAATTAACAAGTTGTCCCAACTTTGGACTGTTCTTCTGACAAAACTATGGGGAACAAATATTTTCCCCATATTTTGAGGGTCAGAAACCCGAATCCATTGAAAAAAGGGTATGTTTACTCGGAGAATGCATGCTTTTGAGTCTGATTTCAGAATTTAAATTATCTCCTGCTTATTAATTAGCATATTTGACGTCAGCACCCCCCACAACCATTAAAATTGAGTTCCAGATTGTGAAGATCCGATCATTAGTTCAAAAGTTATTAAGGATGGTGGTCCGTTTTTTTTTTGGTGCACTGTACTTTTGTACAATACATGCATTTTCAATTTAGGCACAAAAAAACCACACTCTGAACCATTTTTTGATTTAATTATCAGATTTTTACGTTCTAGGAATCAATCAGAAATATTCAGAGGGGCGATCTTAAATATGATAATTATTTAAGATCGCAATAAGTTAATTATTTAAAAAGCGATAAGTGCAAACGATATTTTATACTACGAAATCAGACACAAAAACGTACTTTCTCTGAATCAAAACATACATTTTCTCGACGAATTTGGATTTTTGAAGATAAAGGCCATAGCCCCAATCTGAAATTATTGACCAATAGTTTGGTCAGGAGAGTGGTTTAAAGTTTTGGGCCTTTACTGTCAGTTTTAATTTTTGTGTATATTCCTGTCCCTTGAGAACCTCTTAAACAAATCAAAAAATTTTTGCACACAATTAAAAAATTCATTTACCTATAGAAAATTCCATACAAAAAATAATTTTTAATACTTATTATTTTACTTAATATTAGTCGAAAAACTTTTGAATTATAAGGCATACAAGTTTTTACACCAGCTTAAAGAATGTAATTTTATAAAGAAATATACAAAATTTGAATAAAATCAATCAAAGAGTTCCTGAGAAATTGAATGCAGAAAAGATACATTTCGATTTCTCTGGAAACATTCATATAAAAATTTGTAGACATTCGATTTTTTTTAATGTTTTTTACCATTACTAAATAAAATAGAAATTAAATAAATATTAAAAAATTTCTTGAGTCAGAAATGATCTTTGGATAAAATAATTTTCTAATTGTGTGCAAATCTTTTTCAATTTGCTTACAAAGGTTCTTGAAATGTGGCGAAGGATGCAAAAAGTAAAATTAACATTAAGAGATTCAAAATTTTGACTGCTCTACTGATCAAGTTACTGAGATATTGAGGCGCTGATATGTACACACATTTTTATCAAATACAAATGTTTATATATTTTAGTTAGGTTGACATTTACATACGTTGTACGTAAATACATACAAAATATATTATTACGCAATCTGAATTACAAAATAAGGATACATACTGAATACAATTATATTTTATTGCAATCATATATTTTGCTTACTTGTAATTCCAATTACATTTGTAATCATGATTACAAGCAATTGATTACTGTAGTTAATTAGTATAATCCTGATTACAGTCTTGATCAAAATTATGATATATTCTAATTATGATTACAAGTGATTAAGTTAATCAATATAATCGATTGAATTTTTTATCAACTCAATTTAAAGTTAGTACCCCTAATCATTAAGACTGAAACATAGATCATTAAAATCCAATTATTATTGTGTTAATTTCTTTTTCATTTTGCATACTGTATAGTAAATAATAATTTTTTAAAGTTGTTCAATAATTATGGTTAATAGTAGTCGTTTAATGTTTAAAAGTTTTAGTATTTAACTTGCAGTGAAAACTATGGATATCAAAACTAAAATATTTAAAAGCTCACCAAGAAAATATTTCTAGATTCAAAAATTTATAGTGTCGAAATTCTGTGCTCATTGATTAGCATTATAAAAGAGCATTTCGAACTATGTCCATTTTCTTAAACACGCATTTTGAGCTATGTCAGTTTTCGTAAATATGCTTTTTGAGCTTCCTAAATGTTTTGTAAACATATATTTTGAGCTATTTCCATTTTTGTAAACATGCAATTCGAGCTATGTCTGGATTTTAAAAACTCATCGATGATATGCATTAACTTTAATGGCAAAAGTTTTGAAGAAAAAAAATTTTTTTTTTAATTGGTTACAAAAGGAATTTTATCTCATTTTATGCTGTAATCACATTATTAAAAAAACAAATAAAGTAATGTATCATGTTAAAGAATAATTACCTCCTTTTTTGACTTAGCCTCAGCTTTGGCCTTAGCAGCATTTTCAAGTTCCATCTCTTTTCTAGCTTGTGCTTTGGTTGCTTTCAGCGACCTACAGGAAATTAATTATAAGAATATAAAAATATATAACAATTGTAATTATTTTTCAGAACAAATCAATATAAAGTTTACATGAATGAAATATCATGCTATTGATTACTTAGTAGAAGTAAATGATATTTTGAATTTGGTTGAATAAAATTTGAGGTAAAAAACTATTCAGGGGTCTATATAGGTTTTTTTGAGAGGTACCTATTTTGTGAAAATTTAGACATAATTTGTGAAATTTAAAAATTATATTAAAAAATCCACACAAAAATATGGTAAAATAAGAAAATATTTCTAAAAATATTTAAATATTTTTCAAAAATATGTTAAAAGTANGTCTGTATAGGTTTTTTTGAGAGGTACCTATTTTGTGAAAATTTAGACATAATTTGTGAAATTTAAAAATTATATTAAAAAATCAACACAAAAATATGGTAAAATAAGAAAATATTTCTAAAAAATATTTAAATATTTTTCAAAAATATGTTATAAGTATTTTCTGAAACTACTGTTTTTCCCAAAATTGAATTTGTGAAAGTGCCGCTAAACGGTAGTAAATGTGCCCTGGACAAAACCTTGCTATTTAATATCATTTCAGAATAGTATTTTATAGTCAAATTTTTACAGTAACCAACAAAATGATTAGAGGTAAATAGATTAACCAAACTTGTGGACTTTGGAATGGAACTAAACTTGTAAACTTTAATCAGTGTTAATAGAATAAAATTTTCTGAGATCTTTAAATAAAAAATTTTTTAATTTCAATTCAACTATCTGTTTATCATGAGTAAACTAAATGATTGTCAGGGCCAACCCAATCATCTCTGAAGCTACTAAGCGAAAAAAATAACTATTCAAATTTTCCAATTACATGCGAATTACAATTTTGCACAAATCATAAACTTTGGATGAATCATAATCTTGATTACATTAATTTGTATTTCCAGTCCTTTTTCTCTGGCGCTTCAAGGTAATTGGTCTGACCCTGGTCTTTGTGAAGCAATTGTTGGAGCTGGTTAGCAAATTCCCTAGCAAATATATAAAGTAAATCATTACCAATTTACTGTACTTTGAGAGCTCTGCCTTTGTTCAACTCTGGCCAATGCTGCTTGTCCGGCACGGCGTGCTTCCTCAGATGAGATGTGTTGACTAGGTCTACCTTTACTGCTGGAAGAAGGCGTGGGGTGATCTCTATTAGAAACTTCATTGAGTTTATGCCCTGGGCCAGCTTCTTTAAATTTCCTTTCAGTATTTATTTTATTAAATAATTTTTTAATTGGATTCATATTGTAAAGAAGAAAAAAATTATATTCTTGGAGTATGTTCTTTTGGTAGTTTCAATTCAGTAGCTTCTCTCTTCAAATCTTCAAGACTTTTGCTGGAAGCTATAAAATAAGGAATTTTGGTGTCAGAGAAAGTTATGCAGTCATAATAAAATCTCAATTTTTAATATATTATGAAAAAAAAAACTACAATTCAAACAACATAATAAGCCTATTTATTTTAGGTTAATAAATTTCGCTTTTTTCCTTCTATTTTTCTTACACATTTTGTAAACACTCTTCGCGTACACAAACATTTCATTATAAAAAATACATAAGCAATATTTAATTAAAATTCACTTTATGTACTGAAAATAATTGACAAAAATCAAGTGATCAGTTATTTTAATTTAATTAAATGATCAGATATGAAATAAGTTGTTCCAGTGTAAGCCTTTTCTTTTAATGTAACCAACTTCGATTTAAAATAAATATCTTAAAGGTTGACTAGACAACAAATGTTTTTTTTCACCTTTAAAAAATATTAAAAATAATTTCTATAAGTGTTTAAAATCTCGGTGCAATAACCAAGAACACACAGATAGGACAATTTTTCTACATAATTCTTCTCTAATGTTTGAGGTTGGGCATTGATTTTGATTGCTTCAGCAGATGAGGTTCATTTTATAAAAATATGTCATAAACTCCAATTTATTACTTTAAATTAGGGGTGCACAACCTGCGGCGCGCGGGCCAAATGTGGCCCTTCGATTACTGAAGTGCGGCCTGCGAGAGCTTCTAAACACAATAGAAATTTTTTAAAACATTTCAATTTTTAATCGCACTTTTAAGTCATCACATTTTGACACAATCAATTTTAACAGATTCTTTAGTAAATGTACGTTTAACGCGCTTTCTTTAAGCAGATTTTATCGTAAATATATATGATTTTTTTAAAAACAGTTATCTCCGCTTTTCTACGTGATTTCGAAAATCCCGAATTTTTATTACNTTTATTACTTTAAATTAGGGGTGCACAACCTGCGGCGCGCGGGCCAAATGTGGCCCTTCGATTACTGAAGTGCGGCCTGCGATTAATGAAGTGCGGCCTGCGATTACTGAAGTGCGGCCTGCGGTCTTTTTATTACAACGCGAGTTTCAGATCGCAAATTTAAATTATCACTTTTTGTGCACTTTATTTGTTACGATTTCATCTTAAATCTAAGTGATATTTTATCATTTTCTTATGCAATTCTTTTTTTTTTTTTCAACAATTTTTTTTAGCAGTTATTGCTATGCGTTCACATGTATTATAAAACATTCTCATTATTCTATTACGACATGCAAATTTCAAATCATGCATTTGACACGCTTTATTCGTGCTGAGTTCGGCATAAATATATTTTTTCCCAATTATTTCTATACTTTTCCACATGATACTGACGATCCCGTTATTTAACTATTATGTTATCATGACACGTGACTGTTAATCGCGCAATTAAATAATCTCTTTTTGATACGGTATTTCGGTACAGTTTTATCGTAAATCCTAGTTATTTTTCCTTCGTTTTTATTTCCGCAACGAATATGATTTGGTCGAATATGGTAATGAATTGTGATTTGATCAAAAACCAAATATTCGGCAAAAAAGAAGAAAAAATCGACTGAACGCCGTACACTTGGGGCCAAATAGCGAAATCTTTTAGCAGCATAGCAACACTGAAACTGAAATTTCAATGCTCCTGGTAATATTTCCTGGAAAAACGTATTCATAAATTAACTCTAAAAAATAAGGCCAATCAAGAATGTTTTTGAAAATGTCCAAAAGCGAAGCAGAGAACATAAAAATCAATCTTAATTTTTGAAAAATATTTTTAAAGCTGAACATTTCAGTTTTTCAATTACCAGAAAAAGCCAAGAAAAAAGAATTAAGTCAACAGAAATGCTATTAAAAATTACTGAGTTATAATGAAAACGTCTAAAAAAAGTTTTTTTTTAATTTGAAGAAAATAAAAAGATAGAAAAAATGTTCGTAATTTTTTAAATGAAAATCTTATGCCGAAAATCTCAATTTAAATTTTTCTCATTGCCATAATTTTAGAAGAAAAAAAATTGCTATAAAATAAATTTTATTAGTAATTTTATTTTTAAAAAAAATGCTGAGTCATAATAAAAATGCCTAAAATAAGAAAAACAGAAAAAACAAAGTTCCTGAAACAAAACTTTAATACTGAAAATCACACTTTTCTATGTTACTGGTTATTTATATTACAGTACAGGGAAAGAGTGAAAATAAATTAATAGTGTGAGACGTTCTGTTAAAATGCTGGGTTATAATAAAAACAGCAAAAAATGGAGAAAAAAAAATCCTTCTCAATTCTCAAAGTATCGAAAAAATGACAAAATTGATTTGTCTGATTATAATTTAAAAAAAAAAGTAATATCAATAAAAATTCAAAAATAAAAAAAAAACTTAGAAAAATACATTTCTAAAAAATATTCTGCCGAATATCTGATTGATCATTTAACCAACCGAATTTTTCACAGAAGTGCCAAATACTCATTACATCCCTCTCTAATTTAAATGCAATGTTATTGCAACTTGAGAAATTCATAAAATGGCGGAAAACGTGAATTTTTAAACTGCTCACTGTTTGTAGTTTAGATTTCAATTTTTTGTTGCTTAGGTGATCTGTTTCGATAAAAAAAAGGAAAATGTTTACTATATAAAAAAATCTAATAATTAATAAAATAAAATAATAAAGTACATTGCAAAATAAGCATTGAATTTTATTTTGAAATATCACAGTTTTGTTATTTTAGGCTTTTGTTTAAAACCTATAACTTTTCTTCAATTAAAATATTTAATTTGAATTTATATTACTTAATTATGACTAAACCTAAGTCCTGGATTATGCNTAAGTTTTTTTATTTTTGAATGAATTCTAATAATGGAACACTACTAAGTTATTGATATTACTAAGTTTATTGATAAAAATAATAGATCGCTAATGTTTAAATAAACATCACTGCATGTCTAAATACATGTGCGGCCCTTCGTTAGCCAACCTGCTGTGCAAGTGGCCCTTCGCTCAAAAAGGTTGTGCACCCCTACTTTAAATAGTTCACTCAAATTTTTTTCCTAGATTCTAATGGAACCATATAAGAGTCATGGCTTTCCTTAAACTTCATTGCTAGGCATCATTTTTTTTCAAGTTTCAAATAATTAGATAATTTTTATTTCATCACTGGAGACCATAGTTGAATTATATAAAACTTAACAAAGAAAAAAAAATGGCTATGTCTTCATGCATAGAATCAGTCATTGATTTCAATAATTTTCATCTAGATGAAAAAATGTAAAAAATTGGTGACTTTCAAAAAAGTTCAATAACTTTTAAAATATTTAAGTTATTTGTCCGTTCTAAAGCCCAGCTAATTTTTCATAGCAAGTTGGCATAGATAGTTTAAAATTATAGATTTGCTTCAAGTCTAAGGCACTGAAACTATGGCTTCTTATTTTCTTTGTAGTAAGAGCTTTGAAAAACTATGTTTAAAAAAAGTTTTGCTGAATGAATTTTTCAGTTGAATAATACACTTAGAACTTCACTTCATTTTTATGGCTTTTCTTGGAACTTTATTATTTTTATTTTTACAGGGTTGAAGTCTACCAATGTTAGAGTAAACATATTTGATGAGGTTTCTTATTACAACTGTAGGAAACTATAATATATGCTGGCAAAATTCTTGGATAGAAATACAAACAATTATTTACACCTACAATTAATTATATCTTTACTGTTATAATGCATGCAATGACATTTATCTGCATTTATTAATGGTTAAATAAAAACTAAATTCTTAATCTAAAATTATTGTTAACAATGGCAGAAACTACAAAGTATGCCACTACCAATCAAAGATCTCTACTAAACTGTGTTACCTGAACATATCTTTTGCAACATTCATAGATTGATGCGGCAAGAGAGAAATTAACACAATCGAGGTCTATAATTTAATAAATATTATTACTGATCGTTGATAGATTTATAAGGAAATCTCACCAGCATAGTTTAAATTAAGGTGGTGATGCATATTTAACTAAAGTTGTGTCTACATTATTTAATTCAACATTTTTAACATACATTAACCTCACACGCTCAATTTATATGGAATAAGCAAATAATTTTATTTAAAAAAGGCACTAATTTTTATCCATTAAAAAAAATAAAATTAAAATATTGGTGGAGGTCTACATTTCTTGGCAATTATCTACTTGTTGGATTTTAAAATCACATGAATATGAATTGCGATATTGAATTTTTACATCAAAAGTGGAATATGAATTGTGATGCATGATATTTAGATTGCATGAATACGAATCGCAATATTAGATTTTAAATCCATGTGAATACAAACCGTAAATTGAATTTTAAAAACGCGTGATTACAAATCACGATATTGATATTAAAAACACGTTAATAAAAATCTAGAATTTAGATTTTCAAATCACGTGAATGCAAATCGTAACATACAATTTTAAAATCTAGTAAATACCTACTATCGAAATGTGTAACTTTGTAATCAAGTAAATAAAAAAATGGTTGTTTAAAATTAAAATCGTGTGAATATGAATTGCAATATTAGTGGATTTTATCACAGTTTTTAATATCCAAAAAGGCAAAAATCTGTCAAACCAAGGAATCAAATTGGTGGATCTCTGCTAATTAGCGGAAGAGTGATATGTATGCAAACATCTCTTCAACAGGGTTTAGTGAAATGTTCAAAATTTAAATTGTAATACTCTGTGAAAATTTCGTCAGATTATGAGTTTTCGCTGTGCGGAAGTCTTGAGATGTGTGGAATTTCTCAGAAAAATCACATACCCGATTTCACATATCTAATTTTTTGACTTGGAAGGATAAAAATGCATTCCAGAAACGAAAAACTGAGAATTCAATCACCTCTGTTTACCAACAATTAGAGCATCGAGATGCAAAAAAATTAAAATAAGACAAAACAGAATAGGGCAAAAGTAACATTTCTGTATCAAAATTACTGCCAAGTTTAAAAAAGGAGTCTTCCAAACTAATGAGAACTGGGTAGATTTGCTCTTTTTTAAAAAAAATGTGATCTGAAAAATGCATCCCCCAAAAATTACAGCAATAAAAATATTAGAAACCACAATATTCATTTTTTAAAAATAAATATCATTGTGGGTACAAATGATACCAATCAGAAAAAATTAATCAAAGTAAACTTAAAAAAAAAAAAGTAAATAAATAAGAATAAATTTAAAAGCCATGGTATGACACTCTACAACTTAACAACAGATTTAGGACATCAAGATAGAAACGTAAGTAAACATAATGTTACCGTGATCAATATAATTAATGGTTCAAAACGTTAAATTTCAAATCAAAAGTTTAGGTTAATTTTGATAAACTAAATGACAGAATTTAGCTTAATATTTTACCAGGTTTCATAAATCTTTCAGTTATTTTTTCTCCATACTTTCTCCAAGCTATCCATATGAAAATTAGATTAACACAAAGTATAAATAATGTTACACGCAAAATTTGAAGTTGAAAGTCGTCTATAGGATCTATACTTGGAAAATTATCATCGAATAGGGAACTTATGTCTTCCGGAAGGAATGATTGAAAATAATCTATTACACCAGAAGGAGCAGTAAGGCTAGAAAAGATATTCGGTGATGACATTTCATCATAGGATAGACCTTTATTGAAATAAGCTCTATGAATAATGCAAAGATTAATTTTTTTTCCTCACAGTTTGCAATAATTTTTTTTAAGAATTAAAATTTTATTTATTCCATTACGTTGCCAAATAGAAAATATGAAATAAAACAGAAAAAAAACTAACTATCCCAGTTTTCTCAGTTTACGTTCATCCATAAGTCACAAATAATGGTGATATAATTTATTCATTAATTTATTAATATCCGTCTGGATCTATTGTAGAATCTATAAATGAAGAGAGCGATAAAAATATTATTTAATTCTAAAATAGTCATCAATAAATGTTTCATGCCTCCACCTAACTTGAACCAAAAATGGATGTCAAGAAGAGATGATTTGTAGTTTGGTGATTGTTGTGTTGTTGTCTGCTGACCGGTGCGATTCACGCTACAAGATGGTGCACTCTGAGCTTGTGTGATCTCGGAATTTTTTGTTTATTAGCTTTGTTGGCCTTGTTTATTACAGCCTATTTAACTAATTTATGTAAATAATTTCATACTTAAAGTGATACTCTATGTATCCCGAAACGCTGAAACTTGTTACTGATGTAGTAGAGACGTTTAAAATAGCTAAAGTATTTAGTGAAAATTCTGATCGTATAAATAGTATTGATTTTTCTTTGGACGGTAAAACATTAATTTCTAGCAGTGATGATGATTCAATTGTGATATATGACTGTGAAAAAGGAGTGTAAGTAGATAAAAAAGAATTTCATTTTGGCCAGTTATCATAAATTTCTATCAAGCAGGTGTCTTGTGTAAACAGTAAACAAAAGAAAGCGCCTAATTTACTTTAAACCTATTATACCTCTCAGAACTCCTTTTCTCGCTAATTTTTTAGTTATACTTTAAATTTAAAACCCAGTTTACTTGGTTGTACTTTCAGTTAAAATCAAGGTTATTATGGAATTTGCAAATTATAATCCATTGTTTACATTGATTGTTTTGTGAAACTGCATAATTTCTTTGAGTAGTTTTAATATTTTGTGTTTCACAATTATTATTCATTTATTAACCTTTTTTTATGTATTTCAAGCGATTATGCTTTGAAAAAGAAGATATTCTTATATTATCCTCACAAAGACTAGTTCTTTGTTCAATTATCACACTCCTGGGGTTCTAAAAAAGATAATTGCCTACTTAAATGATTTCTAAGTGTTAAAATATGCACACAAAAAATTTCAGTTTGTGTTATACTCGTAGGAAACTGCCTTTTTTGAGAGAGAGAGAGAATATATATAGAGTAGGTAAATACATATTTTATGATTGGGAAGTTCAATTATCAAATAATTATTTTTAATAGATGTTTGCAGTTATTAAAGTTAAATGTCTGGAATCAATTAAGTTGATATTTCCACATTGTGATCTGTCACGCCAACTACGATCGCCTGTGGAATGGGTGATTCTCCAAAGCGCTGTCTTAGATGAGTGCCGAACAAGACCCGGTTTTAATGTTCTGTAAATTATTTATTTCCACATTTTTTTAAAGCATTGTTTGCTTTAAAAATATATTTATAGGTTATTTTTGAGAAACCATCTAACAAACAAGCCAATATTCTCAAATGGTGAATGCATGAGAAAAACAGGAGTGACCTTGGAGAATGACCATGAGCTCAAATTGGTGTCAAGCATGTCAAATGTGCTCTTAATATGATGTGAATTTGCTGAAACCCCCAAGCGGGGATTTTTCCGTAGCGTGATCTGACGCATCAACTACATTCGCCACGGTTCCGCATTAAGATGTAACAGAATTTGAAATATTTTGTACTTGCAAACTTGTAAATGTTTGCTTGTTAGTGGCTACAGGTTATATCTTTTGAATTGGTCTCTTTCTGTGATTTATTATTTTTTTTAGTTTCTTGCAGGCAGATGTCTGGAAGTTGCCAAAACATGGCGATTATTCTGGCACATATCACGATGCAAATATTTTATGTAGAATATTCTTCTATTTTGTATCAAAATGTAATTTAAATTTAAGTGTTATATTCAAATCTCAACTTCTGTATGTGCCCAGGAAAGACGGAAATGGTATCAATAAAAACAAAGCAAGAGAAAAACGTCAAAAGTATTAGTTAGTGATGAGCATTGGAGAAGCATATTAGTTATATTTTTCAGAAAATTCTGATTTAAATATTTGGAAAACTAAATTTCCTGAGTTGCGTCCTAAATACTTTCTTCCATCTTAAAAAAAAAAAAAAAAAAAAAANAAAAAAAAAAAAAAAAAAAAAAAAAAAAAAAAAAAAAAGACTAGGAAGTCTGTTTGTGCATATACTACAAAAACTTAGCTGTGATTCGTTCAGGCTATGACTCTTTCATAAACTCTCTGTCAATCAAAAAATTGACAACGAAATCACGAGAATCAAACTCCTTTTTTTAAAAAAAGGGGTTACTCAAATGCTTACTTTGTTTCGAGATTAGGTTGTTGTAACAAATGCATCGGATTTTAAAACTATGGAGAAATCAATAGCAATAACTGTCAATAATGCGATAGAATCATTACTTTAAAAAGTAAATACTCAAATGTACCATATTGTACGTTACTATCAGCGTCAATTGAGCGCATCAAAAAGTGATTATCCAAATGCATGATTCCAATATTACGTATAAATTTCTGAAAAAGATAATTTAAAATTTTACTTATCAATAGAAAATTCTTTCTTCAAGAACCCTGCAACTTTCTGCGACAACGACGGTGCGATTATGCCACGGGATCAATGTCGGTTGAAAAACGTATAATATTTCCTCTGATAGTTTTTCGTCTCTGCTTGAAGTGTAACATCACGTCTACCCTTTTGGTGATAGTTGTTATTTTTCTCAGAGAGAAAAACTTTCAGTAAATTAATTTGATAATATTTCATAAACTAGCAGAAAGTATAAGTTTGAGGTCCTGTGACATTTAGAAGGGTATTCCACTGCATATATTAAGGTTGAACTTGGTTATTAGACTGAAATATAGAAGACAGAACACAAGTATTTATTAAACATAAAGTATGGCAGACAGTTGTCTTTAAAAGTAAAGAACAGTTAGTGATGATAATGATTTGTCATATGATGAATGGTTTATTTTTTCTTACTTAAATAAATATTTTTACAGATTTCATTCTTCGTAAATGATAAACATGATCTAAAATATTATCAAAGTAATTCACTGTATTCGAAGGTATAGAAATGTTTTAAATATTTAGTAGGGTAATATATTTCTTTAAATTCATTTTAGGAAAACAAATAATTGTGATATACTAAGTGATAAATATTTTAACTCTCATTCAGCTTGATCCTTTATTATAAATAGGTTCTTATTGTATAAAATCTATACTTTCACCATAGGCATTTTATTTTCAGGCATTCATAGGCATTTTATTTTCATTAGGTCGCAAAATGAAAAGTTGACTGGGCTAATGATAGCTCAGAAAGTTGATTATTTTGCTAATGAAACATCTTTAACAAAGATCAAGATTTGTACAGGGTGCATAGCGTTTGTAAAAAGTACTTAAAGGTGCTTTTTGGGGGATTTCGTTTTTAAAAGCTTTTAAAGGTGCTTTTTTCGGCTGGCGTTTTTAAAAAGTGCTTTTTTCCGAAATTTTTTTTTCTTCCCTTCAGTGATATCTGGTGGATCCCATGCATTTCACGAAAAATGGGGAGTTTGCTACGTAATCATTCACTGATCCTTACTTACATGATA